AATGTAATTACTTTGCTAACTAGTTAATCAAACCTTTCTAAGATTGTACAGTTCTTGTATTATCGACATTTCGCGATTTTTCAACCTGCAGTCTAATTCCTAAATTGCGTCAATTTGCACTCCAACTATCAATTGATGTCAAATAGCAAAACTAATTATATATTCATACTCTACACGAAAAAAAAAATTGCAAAATTCTGGCTCTTGGAAACTCCGGTCACTGGAGACTCCGCTGGCGCCGCCGTGTACGGTGGCAGGAAATTCGGACTACACCGTAAATGTTCAAAGCCTACATTATTTCGTTCAAAATTAAACGAGGAATTCGTTTCAAGCCTCAATTTAAGAAGTTGGTGAACCATTTAACCGGAATCGCATCGGCAGCTCTCACCCTCGCCACCGATCACGTTGGGTTCACAAAACGAAATCAACAGTTAAAATAACAATAGGGGAAATGCTTACCAGAAGGAGACGAGTCGATCGATGCCCTTCTCTCGAACTGTGCTTTCCTGAAACGGCAAGCTTTTGCTGGAGGTCGAGGAACGAGAACTGTCAACAGAGACAGTCTCGTTTTCGCACCGCCAGAGGCTTTGTTTGCGTGGAGGGGGGCCGAAAAGGAGCCAGCGGCGTTAGGAGAGTCGACGACCGCCACTTCGCCCTTGTCAAGCGGTGGCCGGAGAACGGGAAGGAGGAGAACGCTCTGACCAGACCCCGGAAGGAGAGGGGAAGAAAGAAAAAAAAATTGAAATGGTTTCTAGAATTTTCTGCCATTCTGGTTCGATTCGAACCGGTTTGGCTCAATTCAGTGAAACAGCCCGGTTTTGCTTGGTTTATAGGTTTTTCACTTAGTTTACGGATCCGGTTTAGCAATACTAAAACATTTCCTTGTTAAATTTCATTGGTTGAAATTTACAATTAAATTTTTAAATGAAAAATTTACGAAAAAACTTTATGAGGTCTTTTCATTTTTGCATCTTAAAATTGACTCAATTTCAAAATTAAATACTCAATTTTGATTTTTTTTTATTTATTATATAAATGCTTGGATTTGATTTTATTATTTATTGTTTAAATATTTTGTCACGACCCGATTCCATGGGCCGGACCGGCACTAGGGCTCAGGTAAGCTTAAGGCCCCCGAGGCCCGTAGTAAGCCTGAAACACTAAAATTATCTCTTATATTGTATATATCGTTTTAATGTTAGGACTTCATATTTTTATTGTGGATGCATAAATAGTTAAATATATCTGAGTTTAGGTAATTTATATTTAAAATCATTGATTTTAACAATTTGTATACCTTTTAGGTTTAAAAATTATTTATAAAGTCTATTAATTTTAAAAATTTTAATTCAAATATAATCACTTTAATAAATAAAAAATTTGAGCTCCAATGAACTTTTACTTATACTAAATATAAAAAATATATGAATTTACATATGAATTATATCGAATTCATTTAGACCAAATAAGATTCAAATAAAATCGTTGATATTTCATAGAATTTATGAATAATTATAAAAATTTTAATTTTTTATATGTTTGAACAAATAAAAAAAACATTATATATATATGATATTGTAAAGAAATTTTGTTTCACAATCTTTAATCAAGAGGTTTTACTTAATAAAATGATAAATAACTTCTGAAATTAATTTTAGGTAGGTGAGCACACATGATAATCTTAATTTAAAACTACACAAATTAAATCAAAATTAAAGTGAATTTTCATCAAAAATATTAAAAGTGCAATTTTTTCAAAAAATGAAAGCAGTTCCTCAAGTTAATATATAGTTCAAATCTAATTAGTTAGTTCAATCAGTTTTACATGCACTTTTACGTTGATGAATCTAAGCCTTTCACTAAAAATAAAACTGAATAACAAAATTCAGTATCCATGCAAACTAAAAACAACCTAAATCAGTTTTACCCGATGTTTTAATATCCTCAAAATTAAAAAACATCCTAAAATAAAAAAAGTAACATAAGTTCTCTTTTTTGGAGAAATCTTTGACCATTAATTAATATAATATTTAATTAATTAATCTAATAATAATAATTTTGAACATATTGAATAACTCCAACGAAGTACAAAATTAGAAGCATATAATATACAATTCCTTTCTACTTAATATTTAACATTCTTTTTCTCTCTCTATTTTTAGTTATTCGATATGGGATAAATGGTTTAAATCTGTGAATACATATTTCACATAAATATATTCAAGAGAAGATTAAAAGAAATATCAGATTTCACATAAACTATTAGATAAATTAAATATTTATTAATAAATTAAATATTTATTATTCTTATTATTTTATAGGATTTTTTTTTACCTTTATTGTCATAATTCAATTATTTCTAAGAGTATTATAAAAGAAAATTATCACATATTACTTTCTATAATAAAACAAAAGAAAATTGACTACTTTTATTTTAGATAATCGTCTATAAGAAAAAGAAAGTGAAGAAAAAAATTAATTAAATATTTTCATTTACATCACTTTATCATGAAATTATATTATTTTTTCCATAGAAAGAACTAAAAAAAATTAAATATCATAATATTTATATGCAATATAATTTCAAAAATTTATATTTAAAATTTTATTCTATTTGAAAATTTATTTTTAAAAAATATATTGCCAAATCATACAAACATAAAGAAAAAAAGAGTATTAATAAAAAAATAGATTTTTTTCTATTTTTATCTCCCTTTTATTTTTATCTCCCTTTTAATAAAATAATTTAAAATTATAGATCAAAATAAATTAAAGATAAAATTATAAATTTTGAAAAATAAAATATAAAAAATTTTCATATGTCTGTATCATATATATTTATTAAAAATATATTATATAAAATGCAACTATAAAATTTAAAAATTTTAATTAGTCCATCATTAAGAGGGTAAATTTTAAATATATTTGAATAAAATATAAAAATTTTCAAATGTCTGTATCATATATATTTATTAAAAAATAAATTATATAAAATCAACTAATAAATTTAAAATTTTAATTAGTCATCATTAAGGGTATTTTAAAATATTTTAAATTTCATTAAAGGTAATATAAATAATATAATTATTCTCCGTTCATTTCCACTTTTATATATATTATAGATAGATAGATTATTATTGTCATTGTCAACATGGAAAATACTTATTTCGTCTATCCCTATATATGTGCTTTGAGAGGGCTTTTTTTAAACTTAGTTATAGAAGAAAAAGCAAACAGAATGGTCATTATAAATTTAAAGTAAACATCCTCAGCCATTTTCTCTACGTTTTGGTTTTCAAAATTTTTCTTCCTTTTGGTTTCTGAAAGAGTTCTGATTGAAAGCGAAATGGCAACTATAAAGGAAAGTTTCTGTATTATCTTATGAGTTACGATGGATTTGAAAACTCGAATCCATGATTTTTGGTACCAAGCAGACTCCAGTATGAGTGCTTTGCTTTCCCCAGCAGTTTATTACAAAAAACACAAAAAGCGCTGAGAGGAAAAAGACATCCATGAAATAAACGATATGTACGCTTATAAGGTTATACTTCTGATTTTCCATACGACAGCTCCCATTGCTAATACGACAAAAATATATTAAGGGTCTGCCCTTGTAAGTTGTAATATGCAAATTGTCATAAATGTCGTTTATAGCGTGAGGTACATACTGAGTTCTTGATAATAATGCAACTGTGTAAGTGTACCATCTTTCTTTGATTTACTTCTAGTGGTTTAGGTTTGTTTGCATGTGTTTGGACCTTCTCTTCCCCAGTGATTGAGCAGAGTCACTGTACCAACTTACAGTTGTTCTAACATAAAAGAGTTAATCTTTTTGTTAATTACATATAACTCTTGAATTAACGAAAGAGAGAAATTTGTTTAGTGAAAAGTAGTTTTCAATAAGTAGAAAGAGGCAACCACCTCGATTAAGATCCCACGGCCAATGATCAACCTGGCAACGCATGCTATCTTCAACCCATGATTTATGTTTTCTACGAATCTCAGTTATGAGCTCATACAGATACAATAAGTGAATATTAGTTGGACTGTCAGTAGCAAGTTTGTCACTGGACAACAGGCATGGACCCAAGTATTAAATTATATACTATGGTTTTATTTGCTATATACATTTGTTCATTGATCTTAATTATTCGAAGATTACATTATTAAAAATTTCAACTTTCAGAAACACTTGTCTGATTCAAATACCTTATACATTATATTATAATCACCGAATCACTAATTTATACTTAATTCACTCTCTGCAAAATTCAAACACTCCAAACAATGAGAAACAAATAAATGTGCATGTGGGGGCAATTATAATCTGTTCACTGTATATAAATCTTGTCTATACTGTTGTTGATTGGTCAAAGTCAAAAATGACCCCACTTTTTTTCTATTCTACTAGCCATTATTTCAAAGATAAATTCACGTGTTCCTTCATAATTAAGCACAGATTTTAGTCAATCAAATGAATTAAAATAAAAAAATAATACATTATTAAGAGAAACTTAAATCATAGTTGAGAATGATTTAAGTGATAAAACATAATTAAATTGAGCGAATTTATAAATATCTATAAATTTTAAAAGAAAAAAAAATCTCAATCTATCGTTTTCTAAGATAATTAAGTACGTTCAATTTCTAATTAAAACCATATATTAAACTTAGAATAAGACACTGGAATTTAGAAGTATATATAGTTTTGGTAGTGGGTTGTAATAACCTGTAACATCTGTCTTTCTAAATAATTGATAGAAGATGGTCCACCTGCAACTAAAGTGCATAGATGTGCTATTAAGACAGTGAAAGGTGCCCAATGAAGACGACAGTTGAATGACTCTGTTTCTCCAACTTCTACTTACTAATAACAGAAGCTGTCCCAATTGCTATTGCTTTCCCTATTGCCTACCTTCTTCGTCACATCATTACAACCAATGATTTTTATAATTTCTCCAAGTTTAAATATCCATTTCAGTACCATTTGCTTATACACATTAATGCAAAACTTAAGACTTTATTATATACACAAAGGCTGTCAGCACAATGAAATGCTAACCGTTAATTTAGTTAAGTATTTTTTGATCGTTACTAGTTATTACTAGTAAAAATCATCAACACTCGAGTGCATTATAAATTACAACGAAACAAGGAAGGATAGCCCTTGGATTAAAAACAAATAACTCCTCCAGATTCGAGTAAATACCGGCGCAACCGGCTACAGAATCATATGAGCCACCAGCTGGCACTGCGTTCTCCTCTGGCGGTGGCGCATCTTCCGCCGAACGCTTCACCCTCCCAGCAATCACTCGACACACCAGCATGGCCCTCCGTCCGTCCGTACAGCCAAGAAGTGAATCATGGGCCCTACCGCTACTCGCCGTGGTGCGTACCCCTTTGCACTCCTTGCCTTGAAAGCCGTGTCTGATGATGGTGCACACACCGCAGGCGGGGATCGAGCCGCACAAGTTGGATGATCCACGCGCGCCTAGCGAGCACGTGAGAGTCGTACAGTGAAATCGTAGGAGCTCGTTGCCGTCAGCGGCACACCTGGGGTTCTTTTTTGTGCTATTAAGTGCACGAGTTTTCACTGCTTCTCTGCAGTCCTCGAACCGTTGGATTGTGCGCTGCGTGTTTTGGACTTTTAATATCCGTTCGATCTTAAAGATGGGATTATCTTTCTTAAGCCAACTTGATTTGAAGATGATCTCTACGATGTTTCGACCAGAATCATCTGGGCCCAGCTCTGATACTGCACCAGCAAAACAAAATGTTAAGTAAAAAATTAAAAAGAAATTGTTCATTTATGGAAATTATTAACTTCTCTTTCTATACTTATCGGTGGGGTCGTGGACCGTATCCATTTAATTTTATATATCGTTCCACCGAGCTCTATTTAAAGAAAGAAAAGCCACGTCATCCCATTAAATTTCGGTCATCGGTGGACAGCTGTGATCCCCTACTAAAATTAAAATGGTCCCCAATACTTGGACTAAGAAGCGTTCTGTCTGTTGCTGTGTGGTTGATTACTGATTGGCAAAAATATTTGCCCAGTCTAGTGTAATTGGGGAGGATAAGAATTTCAATCAATAAGACTAGTTAATTAAAGCAAAATTTTGTAAAAAGTGCATGTTGGGATTTAAATTTCAAACTCAGGGCCTAAATTACGATGATTGCATGCCTTATTTGGACCCTGAAATGAGCACGTAGTTTGATGAATTGGATAAAAAGTCGAAAAAACTGTAAAAAAAGTGAAACCCTAATCATTAAACATCCTCACATAGATCGCCTAAGGTTTATAGAAAAAACATGAAGTAAATACTAGCAAATATGTGTGGAAGAAGGAAATTAGATTTACCGGCATGGCGAACTTTTTGGTGAAGCTCCAAGCTTTCAGACTTGGGGAAGACCTCTCCACAATGGGAGCAGGCGCATATTGTAGTCCTTGGAGTTGGGTACCTGAATTTTTAGCTATAATGAGTATAGTCTCTTTTGAACTTTATCTATCATTGAAGAAGCGAAATTAAGAGGAAAATTGACATGAAACTGTGATAGGGATGTAATACCTGCTAGGGTCAACAATCATGTGACATTCATAACAACCAGAAAGTTTCCTGAATTGCATGCCTCTTGAAGAAGAGGTGTATGTTGCGCCACTGTTGGATCTCCCTGAACTTCCCAACGACCGAGATGATGATCCATTCACAGGTTTTCGACTCAGTAGTCCAGTTTCTTGACCGACTATGCTACTTTCTGGTGAGTTATCAGCTCTATCAACAACCCTTGTGTTGCCATGAACAACGTCCCTGAAACTGCATATAGAGCTGCAAGAAGAACCTATCTTTGAATACCCGTTAGAGTTCTTTGACGGGTCGTGTACGCTTGAATCTTCTACCTGCTTGCAAGTTAGTAGATTTTTTATTTGGTCCCATGAAGATGGTTGCTTTTGCTTCTGCTTCTGCTTCTGCAACTTTCGCTTGCATTTTGATGGTTTTTTTCCCTTCTCTCTCTGCTCTGGTAAGAAAGTGAGGAGAGCCATATATGAAAAGCAAAGTAACCAAGAAAATATAAGAAAAATAGCAGGAGAGAAGAAGCTCTCTCTCTGTCTTTCACATAATAAGAAAGAGAGTGTTTGTGTAAGGGATCCGAGATGGGTAATAACTAATAAATAAGGAGGGAAAGAGAGTGTGTAGTGGTGGGTCAGCATCAGCTGTTAATAATTATTCTTGTTTTCGATTACCTCGTGTTCGTTTTAATTTACAACCTAAACCAATAACGTCAAAAGCAATCAGTTATAGGTGGTTTGATTTGACCATTTTGTGACCGAGTCAATTAAGCAACAGGCTCGCCATGTGGTCTAGGATTATGACCATTCGAGAGTGCTGTAACCCACTGTCACAGATGAGGAAAAGACGGTAGATAGACAGAAGAGCATGGACATATTGTGTATGTTCTGGACGGCTAGCTAACAATCTTAACAAACATTACATGTTTCGATTTGCTGCCATGCATGGTCCAAATTATTCCTTTGATCTTCTTTTCTTTTTGTCTTCTCCTGAGTAATCTTGACTTTTTAAACAAAATATTCTTATTCATTCACAGTGTAATGAAAACAAAAGGCTCCGTGCTAATTAATTTGTTCGTATGCCTCCACTTGCACTTGCAGATTACAAAAGGGCCAACATGAAACTGATAAACCAGCAAAGAATGGTATTACAATATGGAAAAAAATAATATTTTCCAGCCAACTGGAATTAGAATTTTAGATTTTCCTAGAGGTTATGTTTCATAAACCATAAATGTTTAGATGGGTGACTTAAACGAGCTGACCCATGAAACAAGCCACTATGACTTGAGCATTGACTTTCTAAAGAGAAGGATAAAATTATATTGAAATATATATATTTTTTAAATTATTAGTTTGCGGAGTGGGGTCGTGATTCCAAAGGGAAGGAAAAGAAAAAGCGCAAGAGCCAAACAGACATCATATAAAACAAAGAGAAAGAATAGCAAAAATGCAAAATCTAATGCCAATTTGCTTCCTTCCATGTCTCTCAGTGGACAAAATGAAAGATATATATGTCCCCATTTTCTACTCTAACGCACTAACCAACCTTGGCTTCATAAATGATTTACTACTAATAATACTAAACCACTTTAATTCACACGGTGTTAAGAATCCTAAGCTGTAATTTAATATGTAAGATTAACAAATTAATTACAATTCATTACTATATCAAACACGCATTCGATCATTAAAAAATTACCTACTCTAGTACTCTTACCATTAATTTTGGTCTGATGGTGCAATTTAATGTCTGAATATGCATGTTAGTTTCGTACACGAATGAATATCCAGTAATAAATAATTTAAACAGCAATGAAAGAGAAGGTATCTTTTGGAGAGTTGTTAGAAGTCAGACATAGATTAGGCCAGCCATTTCACTAAAGAAAATATAATACAGAGAAAGCTTTGTTCCCTTGTCATCCCCTTCTTAGGACACCAGATCACTCTGCATCTCATCCATTACTAATAATTCTCACCTAAACAAATTAACAAACTTAAAAATTCCTGCAAGTACAGAAGCTAACATTATTAAATCTCTGCACAAGAACTTAAATTAATTGCATTTCAAGTTCAAGTAAAACGCTTTCAATACGGTCAATTAGATATTTCAAAATTTTAATTTTACAAATAAAATTAATTTTAGGATACAGTCTCTTTTTGCTGTTTTAATTAATTAAGTTTTAAAAAAAAGACTTAATACATTCATCAAACTAAATAAAAATAATATTTTGATTCAAACCAGAATATTTCATAAAAAAAAAGGACAAAAACAATATCATTTCCTTATAAAAACTCTTTTATAATTTGTTTGGTCTATGGACCATTCATACAAGGAGTGCAGGCATGTATTGTATGGGTGTTTTTTTTTTTTTTTTTTTTTTTTTCTAGGACCATCATACAAGTGTATGCTATGTCATGTATTGTATGGGTGTTTTTTTTTTTTTTTTTTTTTTTTACTTTTTTTTTTTTTTTTTTTTTTTTACTGAATTTTGTGCTCGCCTACCTAGCCTTAACTGCACGAAACGTAAAGCCCATATTTAAGCCCAAGTTCGTTGAGTTAGGCAGTTTCCGATCCGTTGACAATGTTGGGCTCATCGATGTTGCCACACGTATCAGTAGGTCTAGTTGATAAGGCCCGATAGAATGAGAAATAGTAACTTGTTTCTTTCAGTGCATAAAGCAAACTGGGCCTGACTTGGCCGATTTAGAAGTTTCGAATGCGTAACATCATCGTCGTTCTCCAAATTCCTAACGGTTAAACCCTCGCGCACAGTTTAAAAGTCTGTTACTTCATTCTCTTCTCCTGCAAAACCCTAATTTTTCAGCAATAGTGTACCGCTACCTTTTGCTTTCTGTTTTATTTTGTGATTTTTATTTTTTAATAAGGGACGAACATGTCCCAGAATAACCTTGAATCGGATTCATTGCAAAACCCTAGAGTGACATGGGAAGGTTGCAGCGTGCTGCTCGACATTAACGATGGCGACCGTCTGGTTTTTTCTCGTCTCACTCCAGGCTCGTAAGTTATCCTGTACGATATTTTTCAAAATATAAAAAATTTTTTTCTATAGTTTCTAGTGTTCTGGAAGTTGACCCATGCTTGACAGGAATTTGAAAATTGGCAACAAAAATTTATCTTTGCGGCCCTTGATCGGTTGTCCCTTTGGTTCACTGTTTCAAATTGAAAACGGAAAGGAAGGGCCCTGTTTATCTAGATTCATTCCCTCCAAACAAGGTTTGGTCCTCAGCTTATATTGAATTTCATCTATTTGACTCTTGTAATGCAATTCAAGTGCATTCTCAATGTCTTATACTTTCATCGAGCAGTTATCTTATTGCTTTCTTAGTTATGTCTTTCTCTACTTTTATGTGTCAGCTGATCTATATAATGCTTGTTACCTAGGGAATAATGCTGAAGAAAAAAGCGATTGTGAAATGATTGATGAATCAAGAGACAATAGAGCATTAATTGATAACAATAAAGCTCAAAGCCTAACTGGCGATGACATAGATGCAATGCGGAGGTGAGGTTTCCATAATGTAATGTCTGGAGGCTTTTTAGAATTTCTTCTTTCTTGAAGTTTTTATTCTATCGTTAGCATATAGTTAAACTGGTCCAAACAAAATAATGACTGTGGAATTTATGAATATATTAATTATTATGTAACCACAAGGTGTAATTCTGACCCGCCAAGATGTTTGTACTGAGAAATTGTGAACTCTTATGACGCAGGCAGGGTGCAAAAGGTGAAGAAATAATTGACGCCCTCATTGCCAATAGTGCTACATTTGAGAAGAAAACATTGTTCTCGCAAGTATGTTTGTTGTGCAATGTGGAACTTGTAGTGCCAAAAATTGTTCTATTTAAATATAAGCTAACGTCTAGTTTGTTTGTAGGAGAAATATAGGCTTAAGAAGCAAAAAAAGTATGCGCCTAGAGTACTTCTGAGGCGACCATTTACTCGAAGGTACAATTATAGTTTATGTCCAGTAATTTTATTTTTTATTTTTATTTGAAACATCAGGGAAGACCCATAATTTGAATTCCTTGGTTCACTTTCAGGCTGACACCAATTTGATATTTTGACAGTGAGCTTTGCTGGAGTCTTTATAATTTTTATTATTGTTAAAATCTTTAAATTGTTTGCATTTACCTCAGGGCTGAGGCATTTTTTGACATAACTTTAGTTAAAATGCATTAAAATGGCTTAAGATAGAAACTTCATATGCTACGTGATTATTTGTTTTTTGTTTCCCAAATGATTTGTTTATACCAGATACTCAGGAAAGTTCTTTTGGAGAATGATTTAGCTTGATTTTCCAGTGTCTGCGCATTTCAATGTTTCTTTCTCCTTGTTAAAAGGAAGGTCTTTCCATGGTGCTAGAGGGCTGCATTGCAGATTTCATGGGCTGAATGCCCCATGCTATTGCAATTAGATCCAATCAGTGGGTTTAGGAGAGCATTGTCCCACTTTTACTGTTGAAGGGAATATGAATTATAGAATTTGCATGTAACTTACACATATTTGTCTTTATTCTGAGTGAAGTTGAGATTGCTTATCAAGCCATAGCATGCAGGCTTGTCCTGCATTGACGAGAATGTCATGGACACAAGGTGATTGGCAAGAATTTACGTACTGAAATAAAAATTCAGCATAAATGTAAAGTTAAGTTTGATGGTACTCCTAAAAAGTTTCCTCTTGTTCATCAACGAGCCTTTAGTTAGTTGCCTTATTCTATCCTCTTGGTCTTCTTGATAATACTCTTCATCTGATTTCATGCATAGAGACGATTTTTTTTGTTGTTTTTATTTCAGCATATGTGAGACATACTTCAAGAAATATCCTGCTAGAGATGATTTTTGTTGTTTTTATTTCATGCATAGAGATGATTTTTTTTGTTGTTTTTATTTCAGCATATGTGAGACATACTTCAAGAAATATCCTGCTAGAGATGATTTTTGTTGTTTTTATTTCATGCATAGAGATGATTTTTTTTGTTGTTTTTATTTCAGCATATGTGAGACATACTTCAAGAAATATCCTGCTAGAGATGATTTTTGTTGTTTTTATTTCATGCATAGAGATGATTTTTTTTGTTGTTTTTATTTCAGCATATGTGAGACATACTTCAAGAAATATCCTGCTAGAGATGATTTTTGTTGTTTTTATTTCATGCATAGAGATGATTTTTTTTGTTGTTTTTATTTCAGCATATGTGAGACATACTTCAAGAAATATCCTGCTAGAGATGATTTTTGTTGTTTTTATTTCATGCATAGAGATGATTTTTTTTGTTGTTTTTATTTCAGCATACCACATGCTAACAGGAAAAGAACCGTGTCTTCCCTGTTTTTCACTTCAGCCGTCTGTCTTTGGCAGTGGGTATGTCTTTGGAAGTTGACTACTTTACCCTCAAGGGGAAAGGAAAGAGGTTTCTTTTGTTTACAAATTGTGGATGTGAAGCAATTGCATTCACATTTGTATACATTCTGCTAATTAATGCATTCTATAACTGCCAATTCTTGGGCTGCAAAGTCTAATAACTTATAAGCCACTCGCTTCTTAGTTGTATGGAATTCTGGACATAAATTATAGCCTTGTAAGAACATGGACTAAAAAAATAACCAGTGCTTGCAACTAAATATCACTATATAAGGTACTTAAGTCTCACTATCATGAAATGGAGAAATCTACATACCAAATCTGTTTTCCTGAATGCAGTTTTCTGTTAAAATTTCAGTTTTCCAGGAATTCAAAGTAATATACTTTTATAATTGATCTAGATGTTATAGGTTGCCAATTGTCATATAGATGCCGATCCTGGTCAATTGTATTCTGATTATTTAATTTTATGTCATCCCTTGGATTTATATAACACTTATTTGCTCTGCTGTTACAGCTACCTGCGAATCGATGCATTGTCTCTTCTACTTTCAATGGCAAATGTTACTGCCAACTCCGATATACTGGTAATGGATATGGTTGGCGGCCTTCTTACTGGTGCTGTAGCTGAGCGTTTAGGAGGTTTGCTCTATCTTCTAATCTGAAAAGCACTTCAAATTCTGTAGCTTAGGGAAACTTTTGAGTTATGAATTAATAAAAAACACTGCGGTGACAACTGGAAGAAATAATGAACATTTTGGATATGCTTTATAAAAAAAATGATATAGTTACTTTGTTTTCTCAATGTCCATCATTTTGCAGTTTGATTTAATTATTTATTATCCTCTACATCTCTCCACAGTCATAATGAAAGTCAATAAATGAAGCTATCCTATTAATTGTATTCTCCTGGCTTATCTGCTGTATTTTGATGGATGTAATTTCTGAATTTTAAATGATATGATTTTATTTTCAGGTACAGGTTATGTTTGCAGTACATATCTTGGAGATACACCACATTCTGTCGATATAGTGAGAATGTTCAACTTCAACAACGACATTTGCAAAAGGTAGTCAGAAGTGCTGAAACTTATAGTACTTATGGAATAAAATACATCATTTTACAAAGGGTTGCCGGGGGGGTGGGGGGTGTAAGAGACATTATACGTAAGTTGAAAGAAAATAGTGTTTAGCCTCCCCTTTTTATACCTTTGAAAATTTTATATAAAGTGTCATCTCTTGTAACTGACTGGAGATTTTTTATGCAACATGCATAGTTTCAGTGCATATGTTGCTCTGATGCGGGATGCATTTTTGTAGCATGTTTTTCACTCGATCCTTTTCTTTTTCCTTTTTTGTCTGGTTGTTTATTGTATATTAAAATATAAAGAAAGTACTTCATCCAGGATAACCAAAATTTTCTGGTTCACAGGATTGTGCGGGCTTCTCTAAGTGACCTCTGTTTAGCTCAAAATGAAACTTCTAACCAAAGTTGTGCACATGAAGATGCTCCCATGGAGTCAAATGTGAGCTGACATTTTCATTAATCACAACATAATCTTATATTGCAGTAAACTAAATGTATCCAAATGTCAATATGTGCAGGGTCAAACTTCATCAATCAGCATGGCGGAAATGTCCCTCTCATCTGAGCCTGAGGCTGCAGATATAGATCCAGATCCTACTGCTTCTCCTGCAAGCAAAATAAGCAAAGTGCATAAAGCAGGAGAAAGGGCAACAGATGAAGCCTTGAAATTGTGGAAGGAAAATGGGTTTTCAAGGTAGCTAAACATGCATAGCTGGTGTTAATCTATCATTTTACATAAAATTTCTGCTTTGAATAGTTTTTGCACATAATCGTTAACTCTAATTTCTAAATTATGCAGCCTAATAATTGCTGCTCCAGATCTGGATCCTTGGAGCTTAGTCAATGAAATCTTGCCACTTCTATCATATTCAGCTCCATTTGCTATCTACCACCAGTATCTTCAGGTCATTTTCTTAAGAAATTCTTCTGCTTTCTTTCTGTTTCAGTTGGAAGTCCGGTTAGTTAATGTTTTATTTATCACTGCCTCTCTTTCCTAAATTCCTTATGCCCCTCTTTATCTGTCATTTTTTCACCATCAACGATGAAGTTAGATGGATAAGCCTTCATTTGCTAGGGTAATCTGAAAATTCTTTTTAATTCAGCCTCTAGCAACATGCATGCACAATCTACAACTTGGGAAAATGGCAATTGGCTTGCAAATTTCAGAACCTTGGCTACGGGAATACCAGGTTTGAATCTTTCATTGGAAAATCATTATTGAACCATCATGTGGTTTGTATTTTAGACCTTCAAACAATTCCTGGGTTTGTGGGAAGATGGATGCAGTTGTCTTTGTATGGTTTGTTTTGAGTCTACAGCTGTGCGTGTGTGTACGAGTGGGATCTAACTTCTTCGCAGGAGTCTAAGATACAGCATCCAGATATTACCTTACTTTTTTTCTTTGAACAATTCAGGTTCTTCCTTCGAGAACTCATCCATGCATGCAGATGAGTGCATTTGGAGGTTACATCCTAAGTGGGACAAGAATAAGTAGCAGCTAATCTCTGTTTCAAAAGAATAACTAGATAACACCATGCTCGATCATGCATGTAGGCTGTTTGTTGGCAAGCAAGGCGAAGCCTCATTAAGTGTATACTAGATTCTGATTTCTATTTATTGTTATTTTTGGTTTACTGTATAATTTATGAATTTGCAATGCCACATGTTAGTTTTTTTTCCTTTGCGGCATTCCTATCTAATTTCCCTGTCTTGATTAGTTGATTATTTGTGACGATTTTTGGGTTTCAATAATGGCCTTTGTTCTTGCGAGTAATACATGTAAGCATGTCAAATATGATTTTGGGTTTTCTCCATGGTGTTTACCTTTCACAAACGTTAGAACTCAAGTACGGAAAAACAACCTATGAGCTAAATCAAAATTGTATTTGTATTTTTACTATCAAAAAAAAAAAAAAATTGTATTTGTATTTTAAATATTAAAAGTAGATCTGGAATTTACTTTTACAATCTGTGAACTTAGTTTCTCTTTAATCTAAAAACAGCCCGAAGATGTTTGGGCTAACAAGATAATGTAGCAACAATAAAAGAAGGCCCAACTGCAAGCCCAGGCCCATCAATTAACCCGACTGGAGGAGGGAGAGAGAGAGGTTAAAAACAAAAACAAAAAAGGGAAGGAGCGGTGGGTGGCAGCTAAAAGGCGGGCCGTGCATTTTTCGAACTTACGCACCGCTTTTATATCCCTCCCTCTTTCTTTCCCTCGTCTTCCTTCTTCCTTCTTCCTGTTATGTAACGCAGCATTCCACTTCCACTTTTTCTGTTTTCTCTTCAAATAGAATTTATAGGCTCTCTCCTTGTATTAAATTGATCTTTTGTTTGCTTTTATTGCCCGCCTTTTTAGTTTTTATACCAACATAAATTCCTTCAATTGTTCCTTTCCCTCTCATGGCGGCCGACTGGAGAGAAGATCCGAGCCGCACACTTAATCCATCGCAATGTCACTTTCAGTTGCTTAATCCACATTCTCAAAATCACTATCACAATCAATCTCCTTCTACTCTTTGTTCTTCCTCTTCTTCTTCTTCTCCTACGCTTGCAAATCCGGCTTTCATTTCCTCTTTTCATAAACCGCAATATGGTCATCCTTCTGATAATAATAAAAGCAATCAGTTGTCTAATAATATTCCCTTCGCTTTCCAATTGCATGCTGAGGAGACACATTCTGCTTTTAGTAAACTCGCGGTGAGTTTTTCTTTTTGCCCCCTTTTCTTGTTTTTGCCTTGCATATTGTTTTCGGAATGTTACTTGTTGAATAGTGCAATTTGCTTTGCACTGCTTTTTTTTTTTTTTTTTTTTTTTTTTTGCCCTGCATATTGTTTTCGGAATGTTTACTTGGGAATAGCGTGCAATTTGCTTTGCACTGCTTTGTTTTTTTTTTTTTTCTTTTTTTCCCTTTGGCGGGGATTTATGATACTTTTTTTTTTTTTTTTTTTTTCTTTTTTTTCCTTTGGGGATTTATGATACTTGGATTTTCTGTTTCTAAATTTGGTTCATGCTTATTTCTTGAGCTCTTATATTGAATTAACTTGATTTCTGTACTTAAGTTGTGAGACTTTTCAGATGCTTCATGTTTGAGAAATTGTCTCTAATTTGTATTATACGAGTTTTTGAGAGAGTTCGTTTCTGTGCCATTGTAGCGGGTCGCGAGACAGTAAATCCTCTGTGAACATAAATTTTTCCTTTTTATTTATTTTTTTTTTTTTTGGGCCTGCACATTGTTGATCTTCCGTCTGCTTGTATCATTTTAATTTTAATTGTTTACCCGGCTGTATAATGTTTATGATTTTTGGAATTCCATTGCACATTAATCACAAATAATATGATAATCTTAGCAGCTGAAGCAAACTAATGAAAAAGTCAATCATGAGGCTCAGTATGGTGGACAAGAACCCTTCGCCAAGCATAACAAGGTACCTAATCATGTGCTTGATCCTCAGTCTGCCACTCGCAGTAAGCGTATCAATAGAGCAAAGGTTTCAAAAAATGGTAAATTGGGGATTCAAGGATCAAATGCTGGTAAGCTCTTTTCACTGCAATTGGTAATTTGCTACATTATTATTATTTATTGTAAATTGAGCCATCTTCATGTGGGTACTGAGTTTTTGATAATTGATTTTACTCACAGAATCTCCTAATGGTCTGAATCCAGCAACTGGTTGTCGATATGACAGTTCCTTAGGTATGTATAGATTGATTATATGCTGTTTGGTTATGCTGTCATTCTATCTGACTTGCATTGGTACATGTTTGGAAAATCATTTTGTATCTATCGATTTGGCAGCTTCAACTCCACTTCACTAATAGCTGATTACTAATATATTTGAAATTTTCAATCTTTTGTGTTGGCAGGCCTGTTGACCAGGAAATTTGTCAAGTTGATTCAGGAGGACAAGGATGGAACCCTTGATCTGAACAGGACTGCAGATGTGTTGGAGGTATAGAATCTGTTACATATGCTCCCAAGTAAGAAATTGAATTGCACCAATAGTAGGTTCAACTTTCAGTAGTTCGTCAGATTTATCACAGCAAATTCTAGTTTGAAAATAGGACTACTATTCTGTGGGTATGTGTAATAGCAACCCAGTATTGACTATGTTTATTGTTCTGTCATGTTTCAACAGGTCCAAAAGAGGAGGATATATGATATTACAAATGTTTTGGAAGGAATATCATTGATAGAGAAAACTTCAAAAAATCACATAAAGTGGAAGTAATAATATTCATTTTTCTGTTGCGGTTTTTTTTTTTTCTGCAGCCGCGGGGGGGGAGTGGAAGTAATAATATTTCATTTTTCTGTTGCGGGTTTTTTTTTTTTTCTGCAGCCGCAGGGGGGGGGGGGCGGGGGGGGTGTTGGTTTGGGGGAGGGGGGGGGTGTTGTTTGGGGAGGGGCAGGGGGTGCTTTGCTAATATAAGTGGTAATGAACTAATGACTATATGCAGGGGCTGCGATGGTGGTGGGTCAAAGGAGTTGGATGCTCATGTTAACAGATTAAAGGTACTTGTGTATTCCTGTCATTTGTTTCATGTATCAGATATTGCTTCCGAAAAATTCATAAAGAAAATACTGGAGGAAATTGAATGTGTGCTTGAAAGTGCAAATCTTAAATATGGAATTCATAGTTAATCTCTATAATTGAACTGTTTCACAAACTGCCATAGAGCACAACTACTAGCCCTACTTATTCTGTAGCCAAACTGTTCTTATTCTAGTGTCAATAAGGAGCTGACATTAGGTGACTCTTGTATATCACTAATTATTAGTTTATATAGAAAGAGTCCTGGGATGAAGCATGTTTGGATTATGGAAGATCAAGTGATGATGGGACATATTGATTGTGTTCTATCAGACATCAACTCAAATTAGAGTTTGAAATTGAACATAACTGATACAATGGTAAATTAACAGTCGGTTGAGATTTGTGCTTTCAATTTTTTTTTTTTGGTTTTAAAAAGATAACAATGTTGCCCTTGTTGAACCACTACTTATTAAAAGGTTTCACTACAGGCTGAAGTTGAAAGTTTACACGCTGAAGAACACAGACTTGATGAATCTATAAGGTTGGTTACATGGTTTCAGTAAGTTTTAAGAGGAATTTTTCGTATCAACAACATCTGTGGTTGGTTGAGCTGCTATTTTTTTTATCATGTAGGCAAAAGCAAGAGCTTCTGAGGTCACTGGAGGAAGATGAAAATAACCAAATTTTTTTTTTTTTTTTTTTTTTTTTTTTTTTTTTTTGTGGATTTCAATATGATTTGATCCTTTATTTTTTCCTGATTCCTCCCTACTCGGAACTTTTAGATATCTCTTTATGACTGAGGAAGATATTACAAGCCTTCCTTGCTTCCAGGTTAGCTAATCTTGGGAATACATCGAACAATCTATCTTCATTTTACCATCCATGAAATAACTGAGACTTTCTCGTTACAATTCCACAGAATCAAACGCTCATTGCAATTAAAGCTCCTCAAGCTAGTTACCTTGAAGTCCCCGATCCCGATGAGGTAAGAAGTGTGGATGCAATGGAGGTTTAAAATGTTTTATAAAGCATTACCATCTAATTTACTGCCTATTAACATGAGCAGGATATTGGTTGTCCTCAGTACAAAATGATTGTTAGAAGCAACACCGGACCAATTGATTTATATCTGCTAAGGTACTTTCTTTGCTTGCATGTATGTGTTTGCACTGCTCTTTGTGTGCTAGCTCCCTCTTCTCTCTTGCTCTCTTTATCTTTGCATGAGTTAGTTTTTGCCTGCTAGTTTTGTATGCTTTAACCCAATTTTAGTTGAAGTATGATGGTTTCTTCAGGTTTTCACTCATTGTCTTGCATGATCATTGCATATTATCTAGGAGATGCACACCCACACACCAGTAAATGTAAGTGATTGTTGCTTGTTTGTACAATTTTTGATCTTGTATGGCTACTGTATTCATGGTGTTTGTAGCAAATACAACCAACAACATGAGGATGTAGCCGTCAAACAAGTTAATCCTTTGACCTCAACTTCTCCAAAGTGCTGTCCACACAGAATGGAAACTGAAGGGCTATCTTTCGAACAACATTATCAAAACAACAATGCTGAAATGTTCAACTCACTCTATTCAGAGTCATCTGGGATCCAGAAGATAATTCCTTCAGACTGTGATGTAAGTATGACTGGAAGCTTTTTAAGTTGACTTTGCATCGGTTTCTTTTCTTTTTTCTTTTTTGTCTCTGTTCTGTGCATCTGCCAGCAGATTTGTTTTTGAAGTTTGGCTGCTCATATGGAAGCAAACTCTGAGTAACTTATTGTATGTGATCCATTGGCCATCATCTTGCAGATTGATGATGATTATTGGTTTCGATCAAATCCTGAAGTCAGCACTTCAGAGTTGTGGGGTAATTAGCATTCAGAGATTGATATATTCACGGAGTTAATTTTTTTTTTTTAAATCTGAAGGTCTAACTCTTATCATCAGGAGAGTCGATTGGCATTTTCTACAACATAACAGTGAGGTTTTAGATCTTTTGGATGGCTTCTTTCATGCTTCTTGGAAGATCAGTACTATTATAGTGACGTTGTTCATAATGTAAAGGAAAATCAGGTAGTTTAGTTGTTAAGATGACCTGAAGGGTTCTCGTAATAAATCCCTTCACACTTGAAATTGTAAATTCTTTATTCTTCTAAAGCTAGATGCTTTTCCTTTATTTATTTATTTATTAAATGATTACAGTTACTTCCTTTTTAAGTGGGAAAAAAAAAATAGTACTAATGGCACCATTAGTCTCAGAATCTTAAGGTGAACCATCTAGTATCGTTTCAGTTTGAATGTCCCATGGTTCATTTGGGCTTTGTGACGCTGACTTCTGCATGTAAAAGATATTGACTGAAAAAGGACTAAAAAGTAAAAAATTGTCCTAATGAATGCGTCGCCACCTGAAGGTTTTTGGTCCTGCACCCTGAGACGATGTAAGAATTAAATGCTTAGGCCATGTGACCAATCACCACAGTCTTTACCAATAGCGACATTGAAACTTAAAATCTTTTTAGAGTGAGGATTACGTTGCCTGAAAACCAAGAAAACTAGTGGTAAATTGCCGTCTAATGCACCTGACCGATTAAATGAGCAATATCAAAATGGCTCGTACAATGGACCCAGTCATGCCCTGTGTTACTCTGAACATTCTTGCTGCTTTTGCTGTGTCAAAACATTTTCGTCAGTTTCTGTTTCAATTTTGCCCTATAATATTTTATGACAAAAACTAAAAAGCAAACTATTGGCAACTAGTAATTTACGTATGAGAAATTTCTTATTTTCACTTGGGATTATCAGATTTCGGTGCTTTTCTACAGTCAAGAGCAATCACTGTCATTGGCTAATTTGGTGAAGATGATTTTTTAGTTTCAGACATTGACAAGTAACAGTAACCAGCAACCACTAACGTACCAACTTGTGATATCTTTTGATTTCAGATGCACTATCAACGTTCGTTGAAGAAGAAAATCATATAATAACCAACGCAACTCTGGATAACTTAATTAATCACAAAGAGAAGCAAATTTTAGTTGTTATTTTTGAATTTAACGTACCGCAGCGTCAACAGAATTTCACCTAATGCCACTTTCACCTAAGTTTCCTAAGTTTCATCGGGAATTCAATGGCCGCTGGCTTAAAGTCTATCGTCATCAAGTTTGGTACAACGGTATAATTGTTTTTAATAATTGGAAATTTTCAATTACAGTTCGTTAATTTTATTGACATTGACACTGCATTTAATAATAGAATCGCATTATTGAGTCACTAAATCCATTTTACAAAAAGCCAGTAATACCGTGTACTCAACTTTATTTTAACCGATTTAAAGTTGTTCACTAAAGTTGCCAACAAACATAATTATCACATTCATTTTTTCATCCCACTAGCACTAAGCATTTCAAATAAAGTTTTAATAGTATTTCTATGAGACCTATTATTTGAAAATTCAAAATGCAAGTAGTTAAACTATATACAAACTCTGTTTGTTGAAGATAACAGTTGATTTCATCTTACACAGCCACATTACAGATCTAGAATTATATAGGCATAACAAGAGACCCCAAAAGTATACTTCCAAACTTTATACCTCAATTTGGCCCTTCCAACTTTATCATTTCCAAAGTTGCATAAATTGTGCTCCATCACCCAACACTTTTCATCTAGCAAGTCATGTTCAAAAAATAAAGCAACAAATGGAATAAGAACACAGAAGACGACAAATTTACATCATTGTCAATAACAATGATTCAAGACCCACCACCATCCATTTTAATGATTAACTGCTAGTTCGTAATCTAAATTTGGGAAAGGTTAATATGGTCATTAAGTTTTTGGTGCAGATCGGCTTTTCCTCAATCTGGCACTTGTTCTCCGAATGGCTTCGTCCATGTTAGTGTCTTTTGGAGGAGGATTTGCATTTTCATTTTTTGAAGGTTCAGCTTCAATCTCCATTGCCTCTGCCTTGCTTGATGAAGGCTGGCTGGAAGTTTCAGAAGCATTTGTTTTTTGAGCATTGGAAGGTGCGGTAGGAGCTTTTGGACCAATTAAAGCTGCTGCGGGAGGAGCTGCTTCTCGTGCTTGTGCAGGAATTACCTCTTCGTTTACCTCCGCTTGGTGCCGACTTGAAGATGTGCTAGAAGTGGGGGATGGAGGTTCTTCAGTCTCTGGTTGCTGCACAGCTGGCTGACAGTTGGAAGTAGTAGAAGGTTGGCGGGTTGGAGCATTAGCAGGTTGGCGAGTCCTAGTACCTTGCTGTGGCTGTTCATGTCAAAAGTCAGAGCAGTTAAAAGCCAATAACATGGTAGCAGCATGTAAATTACACCTTCACAACATAAGCAATGGTAAACAAGGTTGTAAAGGAGCAATCAAATTGAATTCCTTATTTGATACTAGTTGTAAAATGAATGAAACAAGTAATCCATCAAACGTGACATTGGGTGCTCATCATCAATCTTCAAACAGAAGCAATGATGCTAAGAAAACCACGTCGTATAGGCAGTTGATATTTAAGCAAGCAAGCATTTCACTTAACGAGTGGCAATAGAATTACCAGAAACTCCTACTAAGTTACAGTTAAAGATGACCACTTGAATCTCAAAATCAGAAAGTCATATGCAACATACAAGAAAATCTTTAAATTTCAGCTTAGGAAACAAGTGATGAGGGAAACAATAAGGCAGTTCCACTTTGCGTTGCTTAGGTGATTTACTAACACCCTTAAACTATATGATATGATACCTGAGCAGCACGAGGCCTTGGTGTTGTTGACTGTGAAGCAACATATTGCAAAATATCAAAAACTCTTGTTTGACCATAGCTTGCAGCCCTCTGCCAGTATAAAATAAACATATCTCCAGCTCTCGTTCTTAGTTCCAACAAACTGCGATCAATTTCATTCTCATGCTTTGCAACATATGGTTTGAAGAAAGAATCATACACATAAGTAGTTCCCTGAAAAAATGAAAGAACAAGGTCAAGTACCGTGAAGGTCATCTCACTACATAATAAGACATCCTCATTCAGCTCCCCCAATAAATAAATACCTTAGTCTTGGGGTACCACAAGTATATGATGAATGCGAGCTTAGCTTCACTGTACATTGGAACCCTGCAGAAAGCAGATAAGGAAAATATAATCAAAACACAAAAATTCCTGAAAAGCATTGCATCTGTGCATTAAAACTAAGATTCCTACCACGAAATAAAAGCATCCCCAATTCTCTCACAAACAGTCAACACAGCCACCAAAATCCTGCAACACAAATAATATAAAAAGTGAGTCTAGCCCCAAAATTTAAGTCAATTCAGATGGAAGAAATCCCACGCAACTCACCAGTACTGGCACCAAAATCGAAGATGCTCAATTTCTGGCTTATTCTTCTCAACAGTTTTGTAGCACTCATAGGCAGGATAAGCATAGCCAAAAATCATCCTGCCAACATATTAAAATGATTAGTTTGGATACAACACGATTCCTTTAAATTGGAATGAGAGTAAGAACTGATGATTGTTAACATACACAAGTCCTCTTGTAAGAAATGATCCAATCATTTTATATTCCTAATGTGCACCAGAAACCAAATGATGATGAATTTAAAATCCACCAAGTCTTGAAAACTCACCCCAGCTGAAACCAAAAACAGAAGACACTATTAGACCCAGGGGGCAATATATTAAATAATTGTAAAATGCCAAAAAAAGGCACTCAAGTATATTGTTTAGATACTTATACCAGCATAACTTGTTAAAACTACAATTTCGACTTAAGTATATCATTCAACATTCTTCACTGGTTAGATTCAGAACAGATTCATATAATTGCAACCAATGGACTCGAGAAAATGAATGGTTTACATTTCTTGGATTTCAAAAATTAGAAAGTTTGTTAAAAAGAGTTGCTGCTTCCAAAAACTAGGGCAAAACAGTTCCCCAAAAATCAGTCAAAACAGGAAAAAATAAACAAATAAAAACGTCGTTAATCGAGTAGAAATACAAACATCAGAAACTCCATTACAGCAACAACATTGCAATTAATCAAAGAAAACCAACATGAAACACTCAAAATAACACATAAAAATATGCATATAGCACTAATCCTTCACAAAAAGAAAGCAATGGCATCACTAACCATCAAATGGCTAAGAAATTCCAACTCTTAAGCAACAAACAATCAGTATCACAACAAAAACTGTAAATAGAAGACAATGAAAGATATATATTAGTACCTCTTGATAATTATGATTATTATTCTTATTATCCCGGAATGATACGAAGCAAATAGAAAATTAACACTATAAAAAATGAGAGATAATCAGAGCACTGAAGAGAAAAGGTTGAGAGAGATCAACAAATCGCCGATGAGTTCTTGAAGATCTCCAGCGTGCGGAAGGATCGGTTTCGCCGAAATGGGACGGCGAACCGTTACGATGTCGGCGTCGAGATAGAGACTAAGCCGAACAAGAGAGAGTGAGGTGATAACAGCAGTCTTTTGTGTCGTTTTTTTTTTAAATTTCTCCTTTCCTTCGTTTTCTCTCCCTTTTGCTTCGGATTTGTGTTAAACCTTGTTTTGAGTTACTTAATTTAGAGGGAGCTTCTTTTGTGCACCACACACACAAGGATGGTGTGCTTATTATGATTTAATCACCGTCAAATTGTAACGAACGGTTCACGTTTTCCCGAATGTTGTAGTTCTTGACAAGTGTAAAGTACGTTGGATGTAGACGATCTCTTCTTCTATAAGATTCAAAACTTTTTAATTATATTTAATTACGTGTAAGACATTTTTCCAAATGACAAATGTCTCACCACTGGAAATATGAAATCTATAACGAATTTACTACTTAGCCCTCAAAAGAAAGGGCAATGCGGAAATACTTTTTACTTTTTGCTTTGTGTCATTTTGTCAAATCGAAATGCAAGTGACATATCAACTGTCACCAACAAGTGATGGTATTATTACCATTGAAAAAGCGCAAGCAAGAATCAGTTGCCGATTATAGAGCAAAGTATCTAATCGTTATGGATAAGGAGCCAATTATACAATACTGACCCCAAAAAAATGTATAAAATTACGAAATGGGGTCTATAAGAATAACGTTAGCGTCCTTTGATAGTTTGAAAATACTGTTAATGGCCCTATTGTTTATAAATATTTTATTGGTGAATCTCGTTGCTTTTGCCTTGCTCCCACTTTCAGTCCCACACATGGAAAATGGCTCAAGCGTATGACGTAGTAGAGAATAATCTTCCTATTTTAATTAGATCTGATGCATCAGCTTTATCTAAACATGCATAATCCTCTTTTCCTTTTAATTTTTTTACTGGCAGCAAAGAGGAATGTCATTAAATTATATATTTTCTCTTGGTCTTGCATATTGAGTGGAGCGTATAAATAAATAATAAAACAATAAGTTAGATAAGCAAAAAATATTTGTTTCCTTATTCTGATTAGAAAGTCTCGAGTTTAAATCCTCTCGACTATAAAAATTTTTATTAATTTAGTGAATCAATATTAAATTTTTATATTGTGTAATCCTTTATGTTATTTGGTACATTAACCTTCCAATAAATCCAAAAAAGGAAATGCAATTCAAGCCATAAATGTGAACTGTATTGTTCATGTATGACGGGTCGCAAACTTTGGTCATTTAATTTGGAATTAAAATAGGTCGGTCACTCATTCATGTTCTGTTTTGTTTGTGTTCGATTTTTGGATAAAATGTTAAGAAGTATACAGCTTCATGATGGAAAGGGTTTAATGAATCCCATTGTTGCTAATTAAAGAAACAAATCTGGAGCATTTGTAATATGGTAAGAGGCAACCTCGACCAACACGAACTCATTTAGAAAACAAACGCTCACGAGTCAAGACATTCTCCTCCTTGAAGTTGGACAAAGGAAGTTTCTTGGGTGAAATAGAAGAACAACCAAAAGGGCCAAACTGAAAAAAGAAGAGCATTATTAAAGCAGAAGCCGAAAAGCTTGAAGGGACCCTAAGGAGATAGCTAATTAGCTAAGGATGATAGAGGAAAGGGGAAACCGCGAGGAGCATGTGGGAGTAATAGGCTTCCAAAAGCCTTGGATTCTACGTTTAGGAAAGTACTACTGGTCCAACCAAAAAATGGCTATTTCATAGGATAAGGGTCATCCTCTCATGTGCCCCCTAATTATATCAGTTTGTTGGTGCGTCGCCGTCGCTCTCACTTTTTACCTTCGTTTCTCTTTTTCTCAATCAGTTACAAAGAGAAAAAAATCAAGGCATCGAGTGAAGTTACTGTGCGTTACCCAAAAATTAAATTAACATGATCTTGTAATTGACTTTTTATTTTTTGGCTGTTGGTAAAGGTAGGGCTTGTCATCAAAATGATATGAGCATTATCTTTGGGCCAAAGCAAAACTTTCAGGTTTTGTTGGAAGAGTAATCATGGACTCGCGGGGTGGGGACTTGGGCCTCATAAACTCTGGGCCTTTAAAAGTGGAGTGGCCGACTGAGATAAAGGTTGCCAAGACGTTTCGCCACGTGGAATGAATATCCGATGGACAAAGGCTTCAAAGGCTATGGTGGTTGATGTACGAAGCTGCCCCACGTATCCAAAGTCGCCATTAGAGCCTTCCATTTCGAGCTCCCGAGCTACTTACGAAACGGACTGGGAGAAAATTAGAGAAACTTGAAAGCAGAAAATGCCAGTGGCACCTTCTATTTCTCGTTTCCATTCACCATTTCTATGCTGTCCTTTTAAATTATCGTCTTTTTCTGCTTCCTCTGTGCACTTCGTAAAGTCTGCAAGAAATCAACGGTTTCCAGCATCTTATCCATGCATCAGAGCTGTTGAGCTTGATCAAAACACGGTTCTATCTCCATCCTTACTCTCTCTCGTTCTCTGTCTCTTTGAATTAGCTATGTTTCTAATTTTAGTGTACACAAAATCAGATAGTAGCAATAACTGTTGGAGTTGTGAGCGTTGCAATTGGAATAGGCATTCCAGTATTCTACGAAACTCAAATTGATAATGCTGTAAGTTAAATTTACCACTTTTTTTATTTTTTTCCTAATTTTTTTTTTATTTTTTAATGGTACAGTTCTTAAGCGTATTTTTTTATTTTGTGTGGCTATCAGGCAAAGCGAGAAAATACTCAGCCCTGCTTCCCCTGCAATGGCTCCGGTGCTCGTAAGTGACTTTCATGAGACAAATTAAGTCAAATTATATTCAAAGATAAATGTTAGACCTTTATGTATTTTTCCACAATGTGATTGTTAAGTGGTGCTACGATTGTCATAGAGAAGAGTCCGACTGTCGATTAGTGCACATAGCTTGTATATGCACAAATGGAACAGTAAGTTGAATATTATGATTTTGCTTCTGCTTTGGCCATTGATGTGCTTCAGTTTCTTAAACAGAATGTGGTGACGAGAGTCGAGTTTTTGACCTTCTGGAGGACCTTCTTGCTAAACAGCATAATGTAGGGAAAGTTTAAGACTTAGAAATGTCTTTTTATTAGTCCATATATAATTCATCAAGGCATAAGAAATATAAAAACTGAATGTACCCAAAAAAAGAAAAAAAATACAAGAACTGAAAATTAGTAAATTTCGGCATGGTCTGTCTAGCATATGCCAGTTTCAACTGTTGAGGGTGCTTCAAGCATTGCCAGTTTCACCTTGTTTTCTGTAAATCATTTGGAGAAGACGTCATGTAAGATGGACGTTCTAACAAAATTTTCTAATCCCTGCCTAACCCATGAGTAGTTCTTTTTTCTAAACACAATGTGTTTGTGGAAGAAACTCTGAACCTCCTGAATTGTCTATATTCCAAATACACTTTCTATTTGCATGATGACCCTCATTCGGTCTATTGTGCTTCAGAATTATCTTTCTGGGGACTGATGATTCCAGATTTTGATCAGCCTTAAGTGGTAGAATCTGGTACTGTGTCAAATTTCACTTATCAAGATAGTGAGCATTCCGTAGAGGGCTTCTATCTTTCTAGTTTCAACCAAGTTGGAAACTGGTTTCTAGGATCTGCATTTGAGTTACTCAAATGCAATCTTGATTTCTAATTTACAAATTTTCATTTAAATGCATTATTGGAGATGTTTATTCAAATACGTGACCCAATTACAACAAAAGGGGATAGTCCGCTGCTTATTACGTAGCAGAGATCTTAATATTGGACTTAAATTTGTCAATAATGAAATTCAAAATGACATAACATTGCAAGTATAACTAACTTATCTTTTCAATATGCTACGACCATATTGAACACTCAATATACTCTGCTTATTCATGTAATTGGGCTGCTTTTGCTCCAGAGAAATGCAGATTTTGCTTAGGAACAGGTTCAGTGACAGTAGAACTTGGTGGGGATGAGAAAGAAGTCTCTCGGTGCATCAATTGTGATGGTGTTGGTTCTTTGACATGCACAACATGTCAAGGCTCCGGAATACAACCCCGGTATCTTGACCGCAGGTATGAATCTTTTTTCCTCAACGCAGATGAGCTATAATTGTGAAGAAATATTCTTCACTTATCTCCAGTGTGCTATAATAATTTTGATTACAGTTGCAATTTCAGAATCAGGAAGGAGGTTTCTTAACTATAATTTTTTACTGAACTTTTTTTATTTATAAAAAGTCAAAAGACTTCCATCTACTTTTATTGATGATTATGCAGTAATATCAACGTGAGAGAACGAGTGGGAGAGTTGCAATTTGAACTGCATTGTTAACTGAAGTGTGTATCTTATTGCAAACAGAGAATTCAAGGATGATGATTGAAGCCTTTCAGAAAGCACGAGCAATGTTCTTGTACTCAAATCAAATGGCCAATCAACTGTATAGCGGGAACGAGAAGAGATCAACAATTTTTTGGTCAATATCTTTTTCTAATGTACCGTTTGATTAGTATTTTTCTTATCTCTCTTGTTGCATGATCACTTGAAATGATCGACTGATGGTATTTCACATTTCATTTTTTTCTTCTCTTTTTTTTATTTTTCACCGGCTAAGAAATTGTATTTGAATTGTGCCTTAACATAATTATGTAAATTTGTTTTTGTTATGTTACTAGTTCTACTTAAAGGCACCTTGATGCATAACGGGCAAAAACTTAGAAACAAAAAGTACATTATATTACTTCAAGAAATATATTCTTCATTATAGGAAAAATATGAATACTCCGAATTTTACAAGCTTTTATACTCTCACCCTATTTTACCATTTTCTTTCAATTTTAACTTAATTTTAATCTTTTACAGCAATAACATCCTCAGTAGTAATCACTAATCAAGGATGAAATTGTAAATAAAAATAAATGGGGAAAGGAGAAAAACTTCATGTTCATCTGCCAAAATATATATTTAAAGCATAACTAAAAGAGTATAAAGTGGGCACATTTTTATCATTTTTGGAGAATTGTCTTCTTTCAGAGCCACAAAAAAATGGCAAGCGGCGTCTTATCTTTAGATGCTATAAGCACTGAAATCACTTAAACAGTGACAATTTTGATCACAGACTAGTAGACTATAGAGGCCTCCTATAGGAAATAATTTGTGCGCGCCATTTTATTGTCTATTCACCAAGTGTTTGTCTTAGGCTCTTAGCTGCCTTTAGGTAGAATAACCTTCAACAAGTCCTAGTACCTTGGTCATGGTCCGACCAAGCTTACTGATGTTATCAATCAACCATTAAGGATTAAACAATGGTATAAACTATAAAGGATACTTGTCAAAACTACCATAAATTATAGCACTACAGAAAATGTCTACACAAGAGGGAGAAAACCAAAATCTCTCCAACCTATAGGAAAATGGCAGATCTGCCACACTTCTCCCTCAACCATGTCAACCTTATGTAATCACCTTTCAAAGAGAGAAAGGTTTCCCGGAGGCTTGGCTCCTCAAAGAGGTTCAAAGCCGCAAAGTAGAGTTGTTGATCAATGTCACTTATCTCATCCAAAGATTTAATGCAATTGGTTATAGTGAATCTTTCATCATTTTGCTTTGGTGCAGCCTTTCTCCACCTTGAAGCAGCTACCATCTCCAATAAGGCTTCTGCCATAGCTCCATTTATTTCTTGATCCTTCTTGTTCTGCTCTGAAGAATGTGTCGCAGAAGGTCGTTTCCTTTTTCTCTCTGCTATGTTCTTTACCATCTTATCTGGCGATGAAGAGCTCCCTTGCACTGGCCTTGACGAAGATGGATTTTCAGAATGAGAGGATCCACCAGCTGTATGTGGAGTTAAGCCTGCAGAATCATTTCCACCAGATTTGTCAAACCCTTCAAAGTGACTTGATTGGGCATACTTTCCATCAGCTGATGTATCTGTGAATATTGTACATAATTGCTCATATATAGGACAGTCCTTGACTTTAATTATCTCGGGCCGAGGCTGTGTACATAAGTTGGGACATTATCAAGATACATAAATTGTTGGTCATAAAAGCTAAACATAAATTTCAGGAAAAAAACAGAAGAAAAACAGCGTACCCCAGTGTCTTCCCACAAGTCAAATCCAATGCAGCAAGAATCATCCATACCAAAATCATTTTGAACAAAAGCTGACTTCAAATTATAAAAGCGTGTCCGCAGTACGTCTAGGTGCTTTCTCAATTGGTTATTATTGAAATTTAGATCTGTCCGCTTATTGAACTCATCACGTATGTGATTCCAAGTTTTTTTGTCAAAAATATTGTTTGGTCTATTTCCAAGTTGAATCTGCTTCACTACCAAGTCTGCAAATATCTTATCAAGGGATGCTGTCCACCTTGTCCTCGATCTTTCATGCTTATGTTGATTACCAGTTTCACTATCCATCTGTATAACAGAGTGTCAGTGATATGACTATCAACAAGATGATTACAAACTTTTTCCTTAACAAGAAAGAGTTTCCATGCCAGAAAATAACTAAAGAATGAATCATAAAAACAATAAAACCATCCAAAATAACATCATACATATGCCAGAACTCACGAATCAAACCACTGGAAATCACATATTATAGTCAGTCAAAACCCATTGGAATCTTTTGCAAGCACAGATACAAATCTTGAGCACAATTTAAAGCTATGCTGTATACAAACTTCATTTCCATGATCACAAATATAAGAAAGAATAGACTTCAAGAACCAAAAATTACACAATAACAAATAAAGAAATTCGAAGGAGGCTAACAATCACCATCAACAATTCTGTCAAATAAATAGAACCCCAAATAAATCAATATAATGTTTTTTATTATAAAAATAAACAACAGTTCTTTTGCTACTTTGTACTACAAAACAATATTACTGTAATTTCAGAGTTAACTCTTGTACACTTTCCCTTGGACTATGAGACATCTCGTAGAAATGGATTTCTTAATACTAGGAAAGTATTCTCTAAAGATGAATTTTCCATGTTTACTTTCTCTATTAAGAAGTTCTAGCATGTCTAAATAAGTCCTTCAAGGTTCTGTTATAATACATCATTGTTTCTTCCCATGAACAGTGAGACCAATAAGTTCCCAAGATCACAGGGAGATTGTAAACTTGGCATTGTGTTAATGAAGTTGGGGCATCGCCCTTATGCTGAGAACTTGCAAATCAAATTCACAGCCCTTACAGAACTTTGCAATCAATTCAAGCCTACTTTTACTTTTTCCAACTTAACTTTCACTACAAACAACCACTTAATTCCTTAAAATTTTTCAGATACAAAAACCACAAAATGCATATACATTACATAGACAATTTATTCTTTCTAACAGCATAAACATAGAGACATTTTAAATCAATCCAGTCCTTCTGATCATGAGAATCGGTAATAGTATCAAAGTAATTAAGTGCATTCATTACAAAAACAGACACTCAGCAATTTAAAATGAATTGTTGTAATTCCAAAATTTTCACTTTTCAAAAAAAAAAAAAGGTATAACCTTTAAAATTTTTTTAAAAAATTTTTTAAAACCCCTCTTTTCCCCCTCATAGAACCTAACAGTACCTAAAATACAGAAGGCCAAAAGCAAATACTTTAAGCGACTAATTGAGGAGACACAAACCCAATCATTCAATTGTAAAGAGAGACAGCACAAACAGAATAGCTCTCAATTGCTAATAGACTTCTCCCAAAATATGACAGCCCGAGTGATACATGTAAATAAAGAATATACATACATATTAGGGCTTTTCACCATAACAATTCAGTGTTTCACAGACAAAAACATGAATACGGAAACGCAAATTCGCTGCGTTTTTAATTTCTAATAAATTACCATAGCAACGATAATTACGACGAGAACATTAATCGCAACGATAAAAGCACGGACATTTACCTGATCGAGGAATTCGCCGGAAAGCTGACGGCGAGTCGAGAATGTAGAGACTATACAGAGAGAGAGAGAGAGTCTGTCTCTATGCTCCCAAAGTTCCGTCTTAAAAGAAATAATACACCATTAAGAAATGGAATTTACTCTTCGAAGTTTCTGTTCTGTTAAAAATCTTTTTCTTGTTAAGTGTTTATCCAATTATAATTAATCAGTTTTGCGCTTAGTGTAACGGTGATTATTACAGGTCAACGGCGGATTGGTTCCGATTTCAGCTTTCCCAAATTGGCGCGTTTCTTTAATTAGATGTTACGTTTGTAGAATTGTACGACATCGTTTGGTCGGCTTCCTTGATTGGGCCTTAGGTTTCAAGATTTTGTTTAGTTTGTTAGGGCCTTAGGGGTCAGATGGGCTCTCTAAATGTTGAAAGAAAGTCCAACTCGCTATTAGGCTTGGGCGTGCATAAGCCAATATTCATCGTATTTGATTTTATAATTTTCAACTAATACGGGGTCCACTTAACAAGTTGAGTAAAATATGGGCCTGCATAAGCCCATAATATTCTTTGACGTCATGATTTTTTTATCAAATGGGGTCCAGCTACCAGACCAATAAAAAGTGGGACCACATTTCAGGCTTAATGTTGAAATGGACAGTGGAACTACAAAACTGGACCACCAATCACAATTACCTTGGAGATCAGAATCACATATTCTCCAAAACTCAACACAGACACAAATCAGTGCTAATCGTTCGTTCAATAGGTGTCGGTGACCAGTTGAACGGTCCATTTCATCTGGGTCCCGCAGAGCGAACGGCATACAACAGTCTTACTTGCGTAAATACCGCTGCTAGACGTCAACAACCAGAACTAAAGCGGGGCAATATCGTCATTTTATAGCAATCAAAATTAGCGAAAACTTAAAAAACCGGGAAAGAACCGACTGTTGTCCCGCTTGAACACTGTTGTCGGTGCGCAAAAATAACCACCACATTCCAGTAATAATCGTACCAACACAAAGTCCGATTCCCCTCCGGTCCGATTTGGTCCCGATCTAACTTAATCAATCATTCCTTAATTAGGATTTTTTGTGCTTAAAATAAGCTACATTTTGTTAAAGCCATCCTCAAACATAACAAAGAGTTGCAGATACCCATTGGAGCTTCTGCATCTCTAAACTAAAGGAATCTTCTTTTTCTCTAAAACCTAGTTGCATTCTCGCTTTATATATGATAGATCTAGACCTTAAAGGTTGTTCTCAATAGGATTTTTCAGTGATATAAGGTCGCATTGTTCAAAATGGGGAAGAAATCGCGTTCCAGAGGGTGCTTCGGGTGGTTTATTGTGGCAATAGTATTGGCAGTGGTTGTCGCGGCCGTTGTTTACACAGTTAAAAAGAAAATTCATAAATCCGATGACGCAGGTGCTGTTCCTGGGCCTCCTGGCGCCATCGATAAGAAGTATGCCGATGCTCTCAAAGTCGCAATGCAATTCTTCGATGTGCAAAAATGTAATGTCGCTTTCTCTGTTCTTTATCTGTTATTTCATTCAAAATATTGATTGTGATGTTTAATGCAGCTGGTAATTTGGAGGATAACGAGATATCTTGGAGAGGGGATTCGGGAATTAACGATGGGAGTCAAGCGAAAGTGGACCTGTCAAAAGGAATGTATGATGCTGGAGATCATATGAAGTTTGGTTTTCCGATGGCTTTTACTGCCACAGTGTTGTCTTGGGCTATTCTCGAGTATGGAGATCAGATGGATGCTGTTAATCAGTTGGAACCTGCTAAAGATTCCCTTAAGTGGATCACTGACTACCTTGTTAATGCTCATGCTTCAGCTAATGTGCTCTACATTCAGGTTAATTACTAAACACTTGCAAGTCCCAAGTTTTTAGCTTTCTTGCATTTAAAAGATTGAAAGAATCTACCTTTACTTGATCAATTCAAGAACCTATCGTTGCAAATGAATAGTATACTTTATTTGATAAATTAAAAAAAAATCTATTTATGATGACAAACCAAGTTTGTGATATAGTTCTTCTATAATTGGCTTTTACTTCGGGACAGGTTGGTGACCCTAAGACAGACCACGGCTGTTGGGATAGGCCTGAGGACATGACTGAGAAGAGACCTGTTACTCAGGTGAACACATCTTCTCCAGGAACAGAGGTTGCAGCTGAAACCGCAGCTGCAATGGCTTCAGCATCACTGGTGTTTTTGAAAAGTGACTCCACATATTCAAGCACTCTCCTTGAGCATGCTAAACAATTGTTTAGTTTTGCTGATAAACATAGAGGTTCCTATAGTAAAAGCATCCCCGAAGTCCAGACCTATTACAATTCAACAGGATATGGGGATGAGCTCCTATGGGCAGCCAGCTGGCTCTTCCATGCAACAGGGGATAAAACATACCTTCAATATGTAACTGGGGAAAATGGAGATTCCTTTGCAGATTGGGGAAGTCCGACTTGGTTTAGCTGGGACAATAAGCTGGCAGGAGTTCAGGTATCTTCTTTTTTCCCTATAGTCTTTGTATTTTTCTCCCAACAATTTTATACATTTGGAGCACCAATGTTTCAGTTACATGTACTTTATTTCTGAACCATTCTTCCCATGCTCATTTAACATCTTTTCATGCAACAATGCAAAAATTTTAACTAATTTTGGTCCTTTGATATCTCATGCTAATGTATTAAATCTCCTATGTTTCATGTACTGGTATGACATGGATTCTGAACTCTGTCAATAAACTGTTCAATCTTGGAAATGTATTGGTCTATGATTTCTGTGTCATTATTTTTTAACCTAAACTGGATCATGTCAATGCATGTGGATCTCTCATGCTTTTTCCGCCCCTTAACACTACATTTAATTCTTCTTTTCCCCCTAATAAGTAATGAACACAAATTTGCTCCAATAGACTTTGTCTTCTAGAATTTTTATCAAACAATGCTGGGATTGAGAAAGATGAAATTTGCAAAAATAGGATTGCAAAATAATTTACACGCCAAAAGCAGCTAAATGTATAATTCATTCAGAATGGGAAAATAATCATCAAGTTTGCTTATGTATTAATATTTTTTAATATGTTTTAATATTTAATAATAGAATAGTAATAAGAATAATAAATTCATAATCATTTCCAAAAAAAATTGCCTTTATGCAATGAATATAAAGTTACCGTTTATATAATTAGATGAAATCTTCTATCAGGCAATTATGGGAGAAATGCATAATCAGGAGAATATGTTTTGTGTTTGAAACGGTACTCCCAAATTTAGATGCATAACATCTGTCAAATATCTGTATAGTAGCTTGGTTTTGCTTTCTGATATATGGACAATTAGTGTCCTCTCTCTGCAGAAAATACTGTTGGCAATAGAGTTTTCTTTATGTAGATACTGTTCTGTTTTTGGACCCTAATTGGGATCTTGACCTGAGCTTCTTTCCTTTGAAGTGCAATTCCACTCCTTAAGAACAAACTTAATCTATTATGACGCAGGTTCTGTTGTCCAGATTAACCTTCTTTGGTTCGAGCGCCTCAAACTCAGGTCTTCAAAAATACAGGAAAACAGCTGAAGCTGTTATGTGTGGCCTTATACCAGACTCGCCGACAGCCACAACCAACAGAACTGAGAGTAAGTTTCTTCCTTCTTAACATACAAGTATGATTAGGTGCTATGTACTAGGCTACATTAACTAGATGCAAAATATTCTAATAATTGATGCATTGATCAAGTTCCTAGCAATCATTGTAGTTTGCTCTCGGTTTTTATATTATGCTTTGCATCTAATTGGTGCAATTTTAGCTTTATGCTTCGAAGGATTTTAACAGCCATGTGGCTGCTTGTCAAACTAAGATGTCAATTAGACTAGGTGGTGGTCATCAAAGGATTACCCATTGCTATGATTTGGCACATAAATTTGGGAGAATAATGGCTTCGCTTCTCCTTCAACGTTGTTACATTAAGTCTTTGTTGAGGAGTGAAGAAAATGTGTGATATTTTTGTTTTATGGTACTTCACGACTAATACAAGTAAAAGATGAATCAATCAGTTAATATTTAATGCTCTCTGGTGCTATATGTGACTATAAGCCATGTATTTACCCTTGATAAGCAGCGCAACGACTTGTGTTTTCTGTGAAAATAATTAAAATATCTTAGAACACTCAAGAGCTAAAGCTTCAGACGCCAAGCATTTCCTTGAGATACAGCAGATTTTAACATATTAAAAATATGCAGAGATGATGATGTATTCTAGCCAGTTTTCACTGGTATCTTGCATATCCTTAAATTATCTAGCTTTGTTCTAGGATATCCCTTACGTAACATTCTCCATCTTCCTTGGTGCAGGTGGCCTTATATGGGTTAGTGAATGGAATGCCCTGCAACATCCTGTTGCTTCTGCATTTTTAGCTGCTCTTTATAGTGACTACATGCTTACATCAAGGACTAAAGAGCTATCATGCAGTGGAGAATCATACAAACCATCAGATCTTCGGAAGTTTGCCAAATCCCAGGTACAGTGGTTTTGTTTTACTCGCTATTATTCACACATATATTGTAGGTTCTTCACCGCTAAATTACTTTGCAAAAGTCCCTTTCATCCCAAATCTGATAATATGTATATCTTTATCATCCAGGCTGATTATGTCTTGGGGAAGAATCCTATGAAAATGAGCTATCTAGTTGGATATGGTGATAAGTACCCACAATATGTTCACCATAGGGGAGCTTCAATCCCAGCTGATGCAACAACTGGGTGCAAGGATGGCTGGAAATGGCTCGAGTCAGAGGACCCCAATCCCAATGTAGCTACCGGAGCACTTGTGGGCGGACCTTTCCAAAATGAATCATTTGTTGATTCTCGAAACAACTCGAAGCAAGGAGAACCAAGCACATATAACAGTGCAGTCATTGTTGGGCTGCTCTCAAGTCTGGTCACCACCTCTTCAGCAGTTACATCCTTAAATGCGTAGTTACACGCTGTTTGTATTATATGTATCTGTAACCTGAAACCTGTAAGTGTTATTTGTTTCCCCTGCAAAATTTAAGTTGGCATCTTAAATATATAGTTTTTTTTTTTTTTTTTTTTTATAACAGTGCAGTCATTGTTGGGGCTGCTCTCAAGTCTTTGTCACCACCTCTTCAGCAGTTACATCCTTAAATGCGTAGTTCACGCTGTTTGTATTATATGTATCTGTAACCTGAAACCTGTAGTGTTATTTGTTTCCCTGCAAAATTTAAGTTGGCATCTTAAATATATTTAGTTTTTTTTTTTTTTTTTTCTTGAGTATCAAGGCGTGAACTTTTTTTTTTTTTTTTTTTCTTGAGTATCAAGGCGTGAACCTTGAGAATTCGGAGCATTGTTTTTGTTCTTGCTGTGTTATCCTATATACGACCTGAGAATTATAACCTTCGAAAATCAAAACTTTAACTACGTTTTGTTCCTTTATATCTTTTATGTTTCCATCACATTTTAAATTTCCGAACTCAGTTTTCTCTTTTACCACTCTCCCACCCAAGAAAAACAGAATAAAAGGACATGTCCATATGCAAGAATCGCCTATGCCATAACAAATCTATACAATTCCTCGACAGTTCCATCGCATATTTATGATTCTCTTTCGCGGAGGACAAAGTAGAAGCGTCACATTATTGACTAGCTTTGTATCAACTGGACTTACTTTCACATGCACCCTTGAATCTCTTGGTGAAGTAGACAAACGAACTTTCAACAGAAAAGATGAAAGCAATAATTCAATAACCCTCGCACCACGTTTTTCAATCCCTTGTCTGTCCAAAACTGTAACACAACGTTATCTATTTCCAGTCTTTTACAATTTGTGGGGTCAATCCACAATTGACTCACGAAGATATTAGCTGGCTGTATATATTTGTTGTGATCATATAATAAATGAAAGACCAAAAATAATCTCAAATTTGTATGATGCGTCAAAATGGATCACGACGCGAGAACGGGATTAGTCCTGACACTTAAAATACATAAAGACCCTTTGTCTCTCTCCACCATAACTTTTTCCCATTCCTTCTTGGCATACGAGCCATTTGTCCAAGTTGGGCCTTCCTGGTACGGACAAGGACAAGTGTCCTTCCACCGTCAATTATTTAGCCTTAAAAGTTGTATATAACAACCCCCTGACTCTTCACTGACCCCAAAGACCCACTTCCTTCATCTCCGCCTAGTGTTCATTTAACCATATGTCACGTTCTGCTCCGATCCTTTTAACACCCATTCTATCATTTTGTTCCTACTGTTTCTTGTTTTTAATATATATATATACACAATGAAATGATCGGTTGATATCATAAATCAACTCAAGAACAATTTGTGACAACCCATCAATTCAAGATATTACAACAAATATACACAATTAGTAATCACCGACAAGCATTGGACCTGTTTATCCAGTACAAATCACTCTACTTCACAAAATCAGAAAGAAAAATCCAAAACTAAAAAAGTAAAAAAAAAAAAAAATCAATCACAGAATGATCCTCACAGCTGACTAAAATAACTGTGGTGGATAGCTCACATCTAAAGAGAAATTTGTGTATTAGTTTTTAGAATATCGTCTAATCAAGATCATGAAACGTCCATAAATATATATAATTATTTGATCATGTCAACGAGCAATTTCTGACTTTATTGTGTAACCCAATTGCTGTTCCATTTCCCAAGTTAGCTTAGAAGCCACCCCACTGTGCCTGGGTTCATATTCCTGTTCAATAATCAAATAATTGTCTTATATATTTTCATGGTACGTATAATTTAATGAACATGAACGTGGAAATTAAGGTAAGAAAACTAAAAAGTAGTTTTTGTACCTCAAGTTTGGACATGAGTTCTTGGGCAGTTGGGGCAGAAACAATAATGTGGCGGGCAGATGGAGTAATGAAGCCTTCATCGACAGCTTTGTCTATGAATGACAGAAGTGAGTTGTAGTAACCATCCACGTTTAGCAACCCGACCTGATTGGATCAAATCAACTCAGCTTTACTTATTAACTATTTTTAGTAGCTGACAGTAACATTGCTTTTATTTCCTTTTTTTAATTTTTTTAACAACTTATGCTTATCTTTTTCATTAAATTTGCTTATTATTTAATTTAATTTAATTTAATTCAATTACCGGTTTATCGTGGATTCCAAGCTGAGCCCAGGTGATGACCTCCAAGAGTTCTTCCAAGGTTCCATAACCGCCTGTCAGAAGAAGTTTTGTTTATATATAGACAGTTTTCTTGGGACTAAAAAAAATGGATGATAATAATAATTGATGAAGACGTATGAGTAATATACCTGGTAATGCTATAAATGCATCAGCTTGACGAGCCATTTCAGCCTTGCGTTGGTGCATGTCTGACACTGCTCTTACTTCTCCTACAGGCTCTCCTGTTATCTGATACAACAATATTTTAAAAATTATTATAAAGCTTTCTTCTTTTTGGTTTTTTAGGCATGGAATGATGGAATTAAGCAAATTTAAGTTACCTCTCTTGGCATCAGAGTCTTGGGTATCACCCTGAAACCAAAAGAAAAAAAAAAAAAAAAGGAAATAGAAAAGAAAAAAACAAAATTAGAATGCAACTTAAAACAGAGAGATATATAGGAAGAGAGAAAGGCAAAGACTGAGAGATGTTTACCCCAACACGTGGCGGCCACCATCATAAACAGCTTGTGAAACCAGACCCATCAGGCCAATGCTTCCCCCTCCATAAACCAAGTCAATGTTCCTTTCGACCTGAAATTAATTATTGATATATTTAATTATTTTTTATTACTAAGAGACGTGTTGGAATTGGAAACAATTTGGTAATTGAAACTTTCAATTCCCAAGCAGAACAGAGAGCTGCAATGATCTCTGTTTTTGCTTTACAAAGATTCGAATTTGGAGTTAAGATCAAAATATAAGATTATAAGATGAAAAAGAAGCTTAATTAGAAAAGTTGAAAGGAAGAAGAGAATAATGGAGCAAGAAAATACCAGTTGGTGGCCAAGTTGAATAGCAGCAAGCTGGTAGCTAGGATTCTTGCCAGGGCTGCTACCGCAGAAGACACAGACACGACTGAATCTTGATTTCACGGAAGGTGGTTGTTGTTGTTGATTTTCCATAAGAGGAAAGACTTGAAGCTAATGTGTTTTTACTTCACTTTAGAATTGTATTTTGGTATAATTGAGAGAGAGAGACAGAGAGAGAGAGAGAAAGAAAGTGTATGTTGTGGTGTTTAGTCTATCACTTGGCCAAAAGTATGGGAATGAAAAACAGAGTGATTGGTTCCTTTTTTATATATTAAAATCAATGCGCCCACATTGCACACTCCCACTCTATTTCTCCTTTCCTTGTCAATATTAAAGTACACATTCTTTTCTTTTCTTTTTCTTTTTTTTTTTTTTTTTTTTCTTTTCATTTTTCTTTCTTTTTTTTTTTTTTTTTTTTTTTTTTTAATTCCAGATTTCCCTTCCTATTCTCTATTTCTTTTTTTTTTTTTTTTCTTTTTGGGTTTTTCTGAATTCTGATTTCCCTTCCAATTCTGATTTCTCTCTTTAGTAATTTTTAATCGTTTAATTAGAGTTTTTTCAAGCATTAAAGACAATAAATATTTCATAATCCGTTTCCTAGTACTCTAAATATTAATATAATCGAACACTTTAAATCGAACACTCTAAACACTAGTGTCAAATATATTAAAAATTATTATCAAACATAGCTTATGTTTTATATATATATATTCAATAAAAGCTAAATTACCCAAATTAATTTTTCTTTTTCAGAAAAAAAAAAACAAGATATTTTAGGGTGCTTACGAAATGGACCTACTAGATGATAATTGTAGTATATAACAGCTGTAACGGTGGTTGCGATTGTCCAGAGGGTGGTCTACACATTTTCACTACAGAACTACTGCTTTCTTTAAGTTCAATCACTCCCATTTTTGTAAATTTTGCTCAATATAATTAGCTGTAACCTTTGAAAGGATTTTACCTTAAACATCGTTTTAGTCTAAGCCGTAAAAAAAAAACAGAGAGAGAGAAAATTAATATAGGAAAATAAAAATCCCACTTGAAATTTATTATTTTGAGATGCAAGTGATTAAGGGAATAAACCAAGCAAGTGGCAGTTGCAAGTTGATGATAATGGTGATCGATCTGAGTTATAAGTTGAAGCAGAAGGAGATGAAGATGGAGTTTAATTGCCAGATATAAGATTAGAGGAGAATGCCTGGAAGATTCTCCACCAAGATGGGTGACTTAGATGGATCATATCAATTTTACATTTTTTTAATATATATATATATATATAACGGGAAATTTTTTAATATATATATATATATATAACGGGAAATGCATTTGCCTTAATTATAGGTTTAAGGACCTGTAAAAGCTTTTGATGAGGTCAATCTCTCTCTACAAAAAGGAATTTAGATTTTTTTTTTTTATGGAAATATTGTGTACGTGTGCATTTGGAATTGGACCACCTAAGTAAAACCTAACGAACATAAAAAAAAAGAAAAAAAAATGGAACACAACAAGTCGTTCTTTGTCTTTTAACTGTACCTTACAACGAATTAGAAACCAGACAATGGATACCTATTTGGATAACAGGTTCCTAGGCTTTCATTCTCCTCGTATATACCTCCCTCCCACTCCAGAACCAGAATATTCCTCCCTTACCATGCGACTGCTTACACTGGAATATATAATCTTTAACTATAGTATTTTTGATAAAAATAATTAAATAAGTTAAACACCATTAACATTTACTTTTTACTTGTAAAAGTAAATTAATTAATATAATTGGAATTGAACAGGTCTTATCCAATGCAGTGCTTAGAGCTTTCCCATACAGTACTTATCTATCTATCTATCTTGCGTTGGTTGGTCGTTGCCTCGTGTTTCGTTACAGGTCCTACTGTATATTATTTTATTATATAGTTGTAGATTAGCTGTTTGTTTTAAAATAAAAATTAATTTATTTTTTTTCCATTTTCAATTTTCCTTAAACGCATGAATCTGATATCACCTTCTTAGCGACCTGTCTCTGCATATACAACATGTTACTCAACCATATTTTAATGCTCCTTAATCATCGATTCTATTTCTATTCCACTAAAAGTGGGCTTTCAGTCTGTTTGACCGCTAATCTTGTTCTTCTTCTTTTTTAAATTAATTAATTAATCATCTTTTGGTGTTTGATAATGTGGTTTAGAAAATAACACGTCGATCTCAAGCTGAAAGAAGAGGGTTGGTTGATGGATCTTTTGGAAGGTTGAAGAAGAAATAACCTAATCCTCCACTTCTTAGTAAATTTTCTTTTCTCTATAATTATTAGACTTGAATTCTTAGTTTTCTGCTGTGGAAGAATACATATTTCTTAAAGAGATTGAGAGTTGAAACCCAAAATAATTCTTACTATGAAATATTTTTTTATCTATTAAGTGGAGAATATTAGGGTTTAAGATAGAATCATGTTGTACTTGTGTTGGCCCTTTGGTTGAATTTCTTAGAGTTAGACCTAAATGTCAAATCTGCCTTGCCTTCTAGTGAAAAGGAAGTAAGGTGCTTTCATCTACAATTGACATGTCGTTTGCTTTATATTCTTGTCTATCAAGTCACATGGGAAACACATGCATGTTTTCCTCTTCTTACTTTCCCATTGAACTCATTTCTAAGTTTTTTGATAACTTGATGTCGTTCTTACGTATCTTATTAAATTTTTACATATCTTATTAAATTCATTAAAGTTTAACTGACTTTCGAAAAAGTGAAAATTCATAAATTTTTCTTTTTTTTATTATAAACGGTATCTTTTCACCTTATTAAATGGTGGGATAAATATTTCGGATTGAAAAGTAATTATATTAAAAGTTTTCTTTAAAATATCGTTATGACTCAATCATTTAATCATTGAGATGAAATTTAATACACTTTAATCATTAGACTAAACTATCACCAAGCGATGAAATTTTTGTTTTAGAAATTGAAATCATTAAGTCTAAATATGCAACTCCGTATGGATATAAGTATATTATGAGCAGCCATCATTAGTTTCTTAAAGATTAAGCTACAGCAAGTGCAAGTGCAAGTTAATTATGGTGAACACAAATGGCATTGACTAATTAACATTCGTCATTGATGATCTCATCATCATCATCGCAGTTATCCCCAAAGTTATGCCGCTCAATTTTCTTTCCGAACGCCAAACATATCTTCTTTTCTCATTAAAATCATTTTGTTAATTAAAAAAATTAATTTTTTTGATGACTTGAATGGGATTTTAATCCATATTTAATTAAATTTTTGAAACTTTTTTCTCACAAAATTTAATAAAATAGTCTAATTTTAGACCATTAGGATTGTCCATAGGCATCAACATCTTCAACGATCAGTAATTTGGTTCAAATCAAATTTCTTGTAGCTTTTAAAAGACAAATCCTTTCAGACTTGTAAGAAACTATCAGATTCTTGAAGCAGAATCAAGAAATTAAACAAAATCAAGAAACTTTATTCAGTAAAGGCTTCCCACTGCTTGTTGTTTTTTTTTTTTTTTTCTTTTCCATGTCACCTTTGGCATTTTTTATTTGTTTAGTAGTACTTTAATTTGGTTAAATAAAAATTTATGCTGTCAAGTCGGAAAATGGACTAGGTACCTAATCATTCACACGTGTAATTTAATTAATTTATACAATAATATAATATGAACAGAAGAGGACCCAATTGAATAAATTGAACCAACATTCCAAGAATTGACCACCCAAAGTCAGGAATTGTTTCCTCCATTGTTGAAATTAGTAACTGTTATTTATCTTCCTAATACAAATACACAACAGGGGAAGCTTTTTTTTTTTTTATTTTCTTCACATTTTTTGTCGTAAAAATTTGAATTCAAGACTTTTAATTTTTTATAGTGTTATTGAAAATGAAAAAACTAATTAAATGATATTTTTGAAATTTATAATTTTATTCATATATAATAAATAATTGAAAACTATATTCATGCACATAACTAGTGATCAAATTAATTGAATCTCATCATCCATGCTTTATGCTTTGTAGTTTTATTCATTCATAAATTATATGAAACAAAATCTAAACTAAAATAAAATATCCACGTTTCACAAGATATTCTTGAAAATTAAATGCATAATTTAAGCGTATAAATATATATAATAATATAAAATAAGTTTTTGAAAAATGAGATATGGAAAAATTCATGTAAAAATGTGCGTGTATGTAGAAAGAAATCCCACCAGCCGACCAATCTAAGCTGGGAGAGTGTGACTGCGCTGCTTGCACACGTTTGGTTGATTAAATCCAACCTAAATCCTTAAAAATTATGTCTTTTTCCAATTTATTTTTTAATTATTATTTAATTGCGGGACTTTGCTAAATAAAGCAAATAGAAAAATAGTACAGGTACAGACAGCCTTTACCAACCAAGATCAGAATCTTCATTAAAAGCTCGTTTCTAATTCGAAGAAATTTCACATGAGAGTGAGATCCTGACAGCGCATGCACTCGCGGAAGCTCGTTTCTTTTTTTTTTTTTTTTTTTTTTTTTTTTTTTTTGGCCGTTTTGTTTTACACGGAAGGTGCTGTCACTCGTATGTTAAACTTGCCGGCCAACCATGGCCGATCCGGCCACTTTGACTGCTGCCAAATCCTTCTTTAATGGAGGATCTTCATCCCGACCACCAGATATTTCTTCTTCTAAGTCTTACGCAGCTATGGTGAAAAAAGAACTCTCGTCTGCCACCTTTACAACATAGGCCCCTTCAGGCAGAATCTTAGCTTGAGCCTAGCTTCGCACACCTCCGACTTTACGATGCTGCGGTTAGGCATCCTAGACGAAAGAGTGGTCTTTCAGAATTGGTCGACGTGTGTCACCACCTCCCACCTATCCTAGGCAAAACAAAAAGGTATATTGCTACCTGCAGCAATAAAAGCAAGTATCCTACGCCTATGGGATTGGGGTTTAACGGAAGTTCCAGTTAAGAGTTTTTGCTAAGGCTAGTTCTATTTCAGGTATTTAAAAAGTATTTGTGCCTTATTTTGAATTGTGCTTTATCGCCAGGCTTTGCTCTATTTTTTGTTGACCGTTGTTACATGAACCACTACTGCAAAATTTAATTACAGAATAATAAGAGATTAACAGTGCACCACATATTGACAGAAAATGCCTAGTACTATTTTTGGAAAGTGTAGGGGGCCTTAATTGATTCTCATTCTTTTTCATTTTTAAACCTCACAATTTACTTTATACTGACATTTGATGCATACTCTTTTTTTTTTTTTTAAATATTAAGTTAAAACTTTTTACTTTAACAATTTTCAAGAAAAAGAATAAAGAACATTAATGCGTTCAATCGAATATTATTTGTTCAAGTTACAGATTTATTTTTGAAGAATTGAATATATATGATCAATGTTTACTTTCACATAAAACCAGCAGAAAAAGCAGACATCCAAATAAATATATGATTGCAGGAAAGTGGCCCAACAAAGGAACGTCTTTAATACTTTATCCTACTAGTGTCACTGCTCCTATAGAGAGGTATGTTTTAATAAGAATGAATAAGCAATTCACGGTTTATTACGACAATTTGGCCAGTGCCACTCACAACAAGAATACAACGCATTTAAGGGCAAAAATGAAAATTACAGGAAATTAGAATGCCTAAAACCTAATTGCCACAATCAAACACTAAACATGCTATTGTACAGAATTGAAGGTGGATTCGTTTGGTGAGAAATAATCCTATCAGTAACCATACCCAGGAGGTGGTGGCGGCGGCCTCTTATTTGGTCCACCTGGTGGCGTATGACCAGGCCATCCATTCTTATTGCTAGTTGGTTGTTGGTAAAACCTACTAGCTCCACCTGGGGGTGGGTACATCGGCCTCCTATTTGCTCCATCATGAGATGGCCTAGGCCCCCTGTTCAGCCCACCGGCACCATGTGGTGGGGCTGTCTTTCCTCTCGAGTCCAACGCAGAATATCTATTACCTCTTTGTTGATGGTGATCGTACCCTACGGGGACATTCTGGTTGGACAGTGGAGGGAACCCACCACTCCAATGTTGATGAGTACCGGCTCCAGGTGATTGATGTTTCTGGTAACCATCATAACCACCTTGATAACCATAGGTGGGGGGCCCAGATGATGCCTGTGGGATGGAACCAGGCAGGTACTGTGGTCCACCATTCTGATCAAACTCTGGGGTATGGTACGCCTGATGCCTTGAATGCTGACCATTTGATCGGTTCTCTCTTTCATATCGATTACGAGACCCATTATGATGTGGGATGGCAGTTGATGATGCATAAGGTCGATCATAGCCTTGGTTATAGTGAGAGGGATTTGAAGATCTATGGTGACCAGAATTAGAATAATCTGTTCTAGGTTGTGCAATTCTCTGTCTTCCTGGATCATGCAACCCATTTAAATAGGAAGAGTGCGGTGGGACATGGGGAGCTGCGGCATAAGGTGATGTTTGGATATGCAAATGATTGGCATACCCATTGTGATCTACCTTCAATTGTAAACTATTCATAACAAGACGATGAGATACCTCACCAAGCTGACGTCCAGATATAGTTCCAGGGGGGTTATGCCTGAAAATAAGAGGCACATAAGCCAAATTCTCAAAATCAATCACATAACATACTCAACGTGTAGCACAAAACAAGCAAACATATAAGAGGAAAATAGAGTAAACAATTATGAATTGGCCTTTTCTTCCAGTAGAGATCGAAGTTAATATACCTTTGGCTTTCCCAAGGCCTCCTTCCAGAATCTTCATGCCACAAAACTGGATCTGGTTTCAGATCCCCCGAATTTACCATCTAAAGGAAAAGTAATAACGTTTGCTTTAATACAGTAAACTATGTCAGATCTGCAAAGCTATCTGAATGCAATACAGTAACGATCAAACTCAATAAGCCCAATCAGTTAAACATATGAATCTTGAAGACTTGAGCTTTCCAATTTATGTTTAAGATGCAACAAAAAATGGTAAAAATGTACCACTTTGCATGCACAGGAAACAAGTTGAAAACCAGATAATGCAAATCCAAGCGCAGACTCGTTAGGATTTGGCCTCACTACTAATACATACCTTCTTAGGGAATATAACCCCCGCTGGTGGTCGAGTTATGTGTTTATGTGGATCAGGAAGTCTGTATACAGCACATCTGAAGAGAAAAGAATAAAATAATTTAAAAATTAATAAAAAAAAACATCTTAGGTACTTGATTGATCACTTCCAAGAGCTCCACAAATCATAGTAGATCAAATATGCAATACAAATTTAACTTATATGAATAAATCTATGATATATAATAGATAAACAAAATCAATGTTTTGGAGCTTACATGACTTCATTGTCCAAAATGTCTTCCATGCCTACAACTGGAGACCTGAATATAGGAGGTTGAGTATCTCCAGAGCAAGGGGATATATAACCATTCATCCCATCACTGCATGTAGCCCTAAATAAAATCAGAAAATAGTCCAAATAAACTTTGAGCGGAAATAGTCCACATTAGTCCAATATTGAAGATTTCAGCGAGAACAGTAATGTGACAGACAAAATTAAAACGCTCGATTACGTTATGAATTTGTCTGTCATGCCTGTCTGCCTGCACAATCTATGACACAACAGAAACCAAAGCCACAAGTATTACCTCACATTATACAAGTATAAAATAGTATCTCAACATTAACAAGGCACGGAATTTTCACGTGAACATCAGGACTCAGGAGCATGAAACAACTTCAGGCATCTCAAGCAAAAATCTTTTGATTGGCCTTATTCAAAAAATTAACACTAAAAAGTTATCTAATGGAAATACTAGTCCATTAGAGAGTATTTAACAATGATTGAATTCGAATACAAGGGATATAATTAAGTACGTTGATTTCACGAAAGATTATAAGCAACCAACTAAAAGTTATCTGCTGAAGATGGAACTATTTGAAGCCTAGAATCTCGTAAATTTCAAAGCTCACATTGAACAGAATTAACAGTTGCAAATACAAACCTCAATTCAGGATTAATACGTTCTTTGACTTCAACTCGTTCTTTGTCCGTCAATTGTTTACAGTGATTATCAAGTAAATAAATACTCTCAGCAAGAGAATGGGATGATAACACAAAAAGCATGTCAAACATCACACTGTTTCTCCTTGCTTCCTCCTCCTACAGACATTGTCACATTCAGATCACATCAGGACAGACCCACGACAATGCTCCCTCATACCCAGAGAGAGAGCATCGTAAGAAGAAATGAAGAATGGATGAGAACAAAGGTCACAGGATGACTTGATTCAAGAACCATACCGTTAATGTATGCTCAATCTTTTTAACCTCTGCAAGTAGGCGAGCTTCATCAATGAAGGGCAGCTTTGCAATACCCTAAGGAGGAAAAAAAAAATTAGAATAGAGAGTGCCAACAAAACCCACTTGAATAAGAAATCACCTCCGACACAATAGCTTATCTACAAGGATAAATGCAATCAGACTATAAAATAAACTCACCTGCCAAGCATACCGCTTCCCATTCATGTCCACTTCAAAATCTGAGATAATAAAGTCCAAGACAGTAACTTATTATACAACAGACATAATGATGTATCAAGCATTCTTGTCTAGAAAAAAAGCATACCAGTGGGGTAAAAATCAATAATGGGTGAATTGGGATCAGTCATCAATTTTCTATAATTCACAGGAAGAGCATGGGAACTGCAAATTAAAGGAAAAAAAAAAAAATTAGTTTCTGCCTTGATGGGACAATCACATACAAGGGAAGGAAATAGCTATGGTACCTTGCAGCAGGAAAAACTCCCAAAAGCTGATTGAATGGTTTGAATGGAGAACCTAGTTCAAACTCAATATTCATCTGATCTAGATTTTTGAGATCAGAAGCAAAGGGTGCATAATGATAGGGATAAAACCTGAAACAAAGAATAAATAATGATCCACACGCATATACATTATCTATAACACCACAAAATACAACTTCACATGAGTTGGAGGCCTTTTCATCTGTTTGATAGTATGGAAGGGTGAAGTATGCAGTAATCTTGTGACTATAATGTAAATAAAAGAATTCGTGGGAAACAGTAAAAATTTTGTATCATCCTTCAAGTGTTCAAGATGGAAATAAAAGCACCATATCACATTTCCTACGGCCATAACTTTCAGCAAAACAGTCTTCATAATTCTAAAATTTACTTTTAATCTTGGTTCATCATCAATTTGCAAAAAGGAAGTAGCAACAGCATCACAAGAACAGAAGAAAAGGGAGGTCTCAACTGTAGAGAAGCCAAGAAAGTCTAAAACTCACCACTGCCAGGAACAAACTCCTTCATAGTAATAGTGCATGACCCAACATAGCCCTTCAGTGTACCTCAAGGCCTAGATAATGGATGACCAAACAATATTAAATACTTTGAGGACATTAAATACATCCAAAACCAAAAATAGAAGAGATGATTTGACTTACAACATCCCTTCTTATGTCTTCAAGCTCCTCCAAGGTTTTAACATAAAACTTTTCTTCATAATACCTTTCCTTCCATCCTGGTTCTCCTAATTTAACCTGATAAAAAAACAAGAGCATAAGCATCCCAGATACTGAACACAGCCCAAAAGGGAGTAGATAATAGCACTTGACAGACTGACACTCGTTCACTTGAACATTTGAAAGGTGCCATAACAGGTGCCATGAAATTATTAAAGCACAGCCACAATATTACCCATTCCTATCTGATTTTCAATCTCATATAATGCATATAACAAATAGTATAAAACATGATACCAACTGCTAATCGTAAAAATCACTGATATCAGAAATCCATACACCAACACACAGCAAAAGAACCAAGAAAACAAAAGCAAGCATTGCAGGTCATTTAATCCATCACAATATAAGCACATATTGAATTTCATATTTCATAGAAATGAGAAAAGATTGATATAGAAGAAAAGGACCAAGTGTATAAAATTTTGAAACTGAGTTTTCTCCTGACTAATGCTTATCTCGCACTGAAAATTTCAATTACAGGGAAGCACAAGTTATGGATTTCATGCGGAACATAAATAACACACTTAATAGCGAATCTGAACCTTGTCTTCTTCTGGATTTTTTGAGTTAAAAACATCAGACTTCTCACGAAGTCTCTCCTTAAGCTTCGTTTTCAATTCTTCTTTGTTTTCATGTGCCTGGAAACAAGGGGAAAATAGCATCAACTTGATAAATGATCATGGTAGAAAGCAAAACTTGGCCAGTTTGCACGTATAAAACAGTAAACAGTTTGAAAAATGAACTCTTAACTCCTCGCCAGCAAGGCTCATACCAAATCAGAGGCTAGCCCATAGAATATGAGTCCTTAGTATTCGCTGGAGGAGTCAGAATTAAATTAAAGTGCCTCTCCTGAAGCAGGAAAACATACTTCTATTTCCAGACTATTCTCTGCTTCAACAATGGCAGCACCAACACTAGCTGATGAAGATGTACGTGCAACTTTTTTGGCCCAAACAAAAGATCCTTTGCCATCAGATGAGCTCTCCAGGCTGTGCTGAAAGGGTGAAGGTGAAGGAGCTGAAGCAAGACGAGAACCATGAAATCGAGCAACAGGAACCAAGGACTCAGGTTTAAATTGAGGCTCTGCATCATCTCCCCTTCTGGCCTGTGCCTTTTCCCGCTTGATTCTTTCTGACTGCCGCTGCAATGTACAAACAGACTAAAATAATAAATAATGACAACCTACACAAAAATGTCAAGCACAGGTCTATTCCAGAAAATTATTTTAGTTCAAGGGTGTTGATTTCAAAGATTAAACCTTCCTGCTTAAAATAAATATTTTTAGCACATAAAGAAAACACTATGGCTTCCCCCCTGTTTCTTTTGCCTAGACAAATGCATGGATACACTCAGAATCTGAATATATTTATCATGCTTCATGCAGTCTGAGCTGTCCATTTTGTGTGTGGTGTGTGTGTGTTGGTGCAGATTGGTCAACTACTGTTCTCCAAACCTTGAAAAGTACTAATATTCTCCCAAAAATGCAGCAGCATCCTACCACTGATAGACAAAGTTTAGCAAAAGAGTTTGGATATATGTTCCCAGATATCATCCCCCCAGGAATAGAAATCAAATGGCATATAGCATATTAAGTGTTGTTTATTTCTTTTATCTGTCTCCCTCTCCTTGTTCAAATAGATCACTTATACAAAGAACTGCCAAGAGCACAACTACTTCACATGTGAACATCTTTTTAATTCATTGCATCTCCAGCAACGCAGAGCAGTCCATTTATTATATCAGAAAAATTTATCGTGCACTATAGACTTGCTGCATCTAGAAATATATATTATGAACAATGAACAATTGGCACCAAAAGAGAGTACTGAAAAACTTGGAATATCTTGATCAAACATCCCATAAATAGAAGTATTCATGTAGTTTATAGAATCCTACTAGTGGTGTGAAGTGAAGATTCAACTTGTGAAAGACAAGAAAAAACTTTAACCTGGTGCAAGCGTGCTCTTTTCTGGAATATTTTATCTTCATAGGATCCCACTGCTTGAATAAAATGCTCGACATTGCTCAAATTTGGCTGAGAAAAAGAACAGAAAATTAAAAAATCATTTCAACGGTCTTCCAAAAATCCATAACAGTTTAGCAGCAAAACCACTATAAGCAGCTAGTAAAAAATATAAAGACATACATACCTTGCTTGCATCTGTCAGATACCCACCCATTGTACTAAACTCCTTCTTGTATACTGCAATTAGCAAGTTGATTGCACCCTGGAAAAGAAATTGAGCACAGAAAAAAAGGTCACATCAACCTACGTGTTATTTCCATATGACAAAAAAACAAGCTATAGTCTAATAAATTTACTTAAGGCAATTGCCTACCAAGCAGCAACTCAAATAATTAGAGTGCAGCATGGCAAAATCATATAGTGCCCAGCTTAGAATACATAATTGAACATTAGGTTAAATGTCCTAAATTCGATTGCATTAGTAGGACATAAGATAATATGACCACATCAGTACTTCACCAACATCGACTTTCACTATTCTCAATTAATCCCACTTGTTCACAGAACAAAGTCTCCAGTTGAGTTCAACGACCCACAATCAAATCCTATCAAAAGCATAGGTTTTCATGTGCAAAACTATCAAAGTTTAATGCCAGAATCCAATATTATTCTTTCTTCAGATGTACATTTCATTTCCTATATAGCCCGAAACAACAAGGATACAAAATTCAAATTCACATCAAGTATAAACAAATAATGTAGTCGACATGCGTTTAGAACACTAGCAAAATTCTGCGTAACTTCTAATATTCATCTTTACACCTTAAAAATCTAAAGGCCTCATTGGAACTGTTGAATATCACTTTGCAAAATACCAAAAAGATTATATTAAAACATTTAACTCTCTAAAGGTTCTTCACAATTCTCCTTCAGTATATTCAATCAGTGTAATAACATTCTCACATTTCTATTTTATTATTCAAAAAAAAAAGTGAAATATTTACAAACCTCGCGAATCTCCAAAGTGGGCATATGTGGCAAAAAATCATTGCCAACAAAGAAACACATGAATATAAAATCATCCACAACCCGTTCAAAATCGATATCAAATGGAGGGTTAGGAATTCTCATTTCAAATTCCAGATACTCTCTAAGAGTCCAAATATTGAGAAACTGCATCAAGAGAAAAAGAACCAAATGGATCAAATGATTAAATATGCAGTCATTGCATCTGTGCAAGATATCTACATGAATGACTCCCATATCGATTTAGAACATAACCCACCTGGTATGGCTTTTTTACTGCAACAGCCTCTCCACCTTTCTCATCAAATTCCCCTGCCTTCCTCTTAGCCTTTCCTTCACAGCCTGCAGCCAAATGACCCATCTGACCACACAGGAAGCATTTGTCCTGTTGTCCAGGTGTGAAAACAACCTGAAAAACACCATGAAAATAAAACAAAAATGTTTCAGAGAAAATTTTGAACATTCTGCAGGTGCCAGAACCAGTATCAACAAAGGGACTCATGCCATCTATTTCATTTCAAACATGACCATGCAAAAGTAAACTATTTCAATCAATTGAAGTAAGATGCATTCCGTTCTCTGTTACTTTATAATAATTAGTAGTAATAACTATAATGATAAAAACAAAAGAAAAGGCATAATTTGTTGAAAGTTAAATGACTTTTAGAATGGCAAACCTCTCGAAGAATTGAAAAATGAACCTCGTGGGTAGCTAAGGCTAACATAATCAGATCTGCGTCCTATCAAGGGCATCCATAAACAGAACAAACCAAAAGCTCAGATGGTTAGTGCCAGGAAAAAGCAAATGCAAAACTAAGTAGAGTGAAGATGAAGGAAGAGTTATACCAGACCATACAGGCAATGGCGTGTATTTGGATTGTAACCAGGAAGATTTCTCTGGAGACGGATATAAGACATAATCTTGTGTTCCCCTTCGCCAGGAACATTTGCATCAGAAAGGATAACCTTCACAAAATACAGATGCAGCAATGGCTCAAAACACTTTTTTCAATTGTCAACCAGTATAATCGCAGGAAAAAACAACCATCATCAAAGGAAAAACTAATAAGGACCATGAAATTAGCAATACCTTTATTTTTTTCCATCCAGGATCATAATTTAGCCTAAGATGAATGTAGTACTGCAGAGCAATTGAAAGAACAGCCATAAACTCAGTTCCAGGAGTGATAACATTGGAATCAAAAGTTTGTGATTCCTCCTTAGGTGGTAGCTTTCTACCCTCGCTCTCAAACTCTTGTCTTAGCCTCTCTTCTTCAGCTGCCTACAAATGGAATCTTTATAAATCAGTAACCATAATGCAATTTTATCTCCAATCATAAAGCTTTTTTTTTTCCTTCTTCTTTAGAATCATTAGAAATGAGACAATAACAAGATCTGGAATTTAAAGCATCCTGAAGAGGTGACCTAAGATATATAATGTCATTAGCAAAATATATGAAAAACAACTAGTTACTTTTTTTTTTTCTTTTCGACTACCATAGATTTATAAATTTTGTTGATGGCGAAACAGAACATCTCTCCACAGAATGAACTCGACCATAAAGTATCCGGGCTTTAAAAGACCAATGCAGTAAATGTGAAGCAACTAACTAACAAAGACAATGCATTATAACAGGAAGCTTGATGTTTTTCCCATTTGATCACAAGCTAACCTTAAAATCTACCTTTTATTCAAAAGAGGAATAACATAACAAATTGCAAATATTCCATTAAATTTTTTATGTTTCCTTCTCGAATTTGTTTTACATCTCTATAAAAAATTACAGGCAGTAAGAAGCTAGAGTTGGCACATACATCACTGCGTTTTGAATATTGATGAGCATAAAACAGGAAACCAACGAGTAATTTTACAAAACACAATCTCAGGTATTGATTGACTAACAAATTAAGAATTGACCCTGCCCGTGCCTACACATAGAGTACCAACTTATTATTCACAAATGCACATACCGCATCTGCTGCATCTTTAGCTGCTCTAAAACGCCTAGATCGTTGCTGATTCATTTTAGCACGAGGAGCAACACCATCTACCAGATATTTTCAGATGATTAGTATCACATACAATCATAACAAGATATGAAAGGCAATTTAGGCATTTACACATGCTTTCAGCATGAAATAATTATCGGAAAAACAAATACTTACCAATTGCCATGTATAGCAACTTTCTAGGTCTCACCATAACAAACAGTCTATCGATGTAGTCAAACATGCACTGGAATACCTCGTCAAAAGATGTAGGGGAAGGCTGCAAAGGATAAACCGCGTCAGTTAAAGCAGATTACCTAAAGCATCATTATCACAGAAACAAAATAAAAAATGCACAATCGCAGAGATTGTGATCTATATCAGAAACCATGCCAAACTGTTGCATCCTTTAAAAATATCCTAGCATGAACAGGCAATTGAACGGCAGTCTCTCTAGCAAAATCCAGCAAACTAGAGAGCTAAACAAATAACACATGTTCAATTTACTATTTGCGAGACAATTATTCAACGTAGAAACTACTGAAATTGACAAAATTAATAGCAGAACAAGCTAACACAAAAAAATCAAAATAAATCATACTCTGTCTTCGGGGTGGAAGCAAGGGTGAATAATCCCGTTCATGTCGAGATATAAATTATCATATTCGATGCTGTTAGGATTAGGTCTACTCGTATCCACTGGTATGTTAACTCCATCGATAACCACTGATTCTTCCTCGATTACATCCACCACAACTAACGGATACTTCTCGGCTAACCACCGATAGAAAGCCGGAACACCCATTGCCAGTCACTCGAGCTCGCAGCTTCGCGGATCTATCTATCTCGCCAAATAAATCGACAGCATACAAATCCTGCCTTAACCAGAAAAAGCACAAAAACAGAAAAAGGGAAGGAAAAGGAAACGGATTACAGAATTACGTGTCTGCTTATATTGCGTTTAGATATTGCGTTTCGAGACAACGAATTAGGGCATGCCATAAATTTTTTGGACATCTATGCCCCTGGTTGATTGGACAAAGCGGGTTGGGAAGAAAGACGTTGTCAGAAATCGGCGGGTGTATTGATGTCCTTACAGAGGCTGAGAGTCAGCGAGTCGGTACGAGTGTAAAAGTACTTGATTCGCGAGAGCATGTGTAATTTCATTTGGAAATTGGAATATTCTATTTCAAACCAAAATTTTATTTTGAATATAATTTTGGAATATAAAGTTTAGAATGTAATGTTTTTTTTATCAGTAAAAAATTTTTTTTAATAATATTATTAATGTTCACAAAAAATTTAACACAATCAAATATTTAAATTCGGATTATTAAGCATCTTATATGCATAACTCTCATTGAAGTAAAAAAAGAATTATTAAGCATCCTAAATGCATACCTCTCATTAAAGTAAAAAAAAAAAAAAAAGAAAAGTAAAAAAAAAAAAAAAGAATATAAGTTAAATGAAACTGTGATTGATATTATGTATTATAGCACGATAAAATATAAAATTAAATCAATCATACGTGGTTTAATGAAGATTTTTGAATTTAGAATTATCTCCATAGAAAGAGTTCTTCATCAGTTTGAAAAATCAATGAGATGGTACTTTTACTACTAAAAAAAAAAAAAAAAGAAATATAAGTAATGAACTAGTGATGATATTATGTATTATAGCACGATAAATATAAAATTAAATCAATCATACGTGGTTTAATTGAAGATTTTGAATTTAAATTATCTCCATAGAAAGAGTTTTCATCAGTTTGAAAAATCAATGAGATGGTACTTTTACTATGTAGTATGTAATGGTAATCTAAATAAAAATGATATTTAAAAACACAAATGGATTTAAAAATAAATAAATAAATTACTATATTTTCATATTTTTTAAAATATTTTGGAATACATCATTTTTCATGATTGTTTTAATTGATGGAAGGTGGGATATATAAAATTCACAAAGTTCATGAAATTTGGATTTTATAAATTATAGAATTTCATATTCAATTATTTGTTTTGATAGTAGAACCCTTGGATTTAAATTCAAGGGTCTCTAATTTCACTATAAGTGAGTATTTTACAATTGTGAATGCTACAAAACTAGATATATGATAAATACATAAAATTTCAATTAATTGGAAAAAAAAAAGCATATTACAATATACAATTAGAATCATAACTCAAATAAGTGCAAAATTTCCACCAAACAAAGCCTCAAAGCTACATGCCGTTTAAACTCTGAAGTCCCAAACGATACGACGTGCACTGTGTTCAAGCAAGAGCGAAAAGGTCAAGCCTGAACCGCTGGGCAAAAATAGCTTTCAGTTCGATTTGGCCCATTTCTTCTCAAGAATTTGGTCCCCAGCAAAAATGCAGACTGGCAGCCAACTTCCGTCCACAAGCTGGAAAGGGTAAAGCAAACGTGTGGATCTCTCTGCTCTTCCTTCAACGCTTACCAAAATGTATTACATTTGCCCAATCTTAGACTTTCCCAGTTTAAACGGATCTCTTCATATCACTCGCAACAGCACAAGCCGCTCCAGAGATTTTAGCACAGGACCATCATCATGTCTTTAACAATCAGACTACACATCACTCTCCACAGTACCTTCAATCTCCACACCAATAGCAAAACCAAATTCACTAGTTACTCCACCAGAATTAAACCCAAACCCATTTACCACACTAACCCATTGATTCATTTCGTATATAACAAACCCAAAATGCTAAATTCTTCTAACCCTGTTTCAGTTAAGAGCTCGCTTATCGATCCTGATGGTGGGGTCCTGGTGGATCTGGTGGTGCCAGAGAGCCAGAGAGGAGCGAAAGTTTTAGAGGCCGAGTCAATGCCTAAGGTGAAGCTGAATAAGGTTGATGTGGAGTGGGTGCATGTAATTAGCGAGGGATGGGCTAGTCCTTTGACAGGGTTTATGAGAGAAAATGAGTACCTGCAGAGTCTGCATTTTAATTCTTTGAGACTGGCGGATGGGACTGTGGTTAACATGTCGCTTCCAATTGTTTTGGCGATTGATGATGAGACAAAGGAGAGCATTGGGTCGTCGAAAAATGTTGGATTGGTTGCTCCTGATGGAGGTCTAATTGGCATTCTGAGAAGGTTGATAATCACTTGATCTCTGTCTTCTATTTTTATATGGGAGCTCTGTTATTTTATTTTAAAGTATGCAATAGAATATAAGCAATTCATATCAACTTGCAATTTTATAATTGCCTCATCGCATGTGGAAGGGTCATTTAGCAATCTTATCTGTTTGTATTACTTAAAAACATGTCTATGCACAAGTCAAATGCAAATTTGTGATTTTGGCTGCATTTGGGAATAACGACACTAATTTCCCCAATACGAAACGGAACTTCTATGCAACTGGAATTCGCTTCATTAAGAATACTGTGTTAGTTGGTTTAGGCATAAGTTACTTGGCAGTTCGATACATATTTTATGTATATCGAACTCTGGATAGCTAACCACTTCCTCTTCTTAGGTTTTGAAAAAGCACATGCTGCAAATATCCTAGTTACTTGAGATTTAACAAAGGAGGATGCGTTTTTACAAAAGTTTATTGAAATACAAAATTGGTTTCAGCTCTTTTGATAACACGGATTTTTAATGGGACCAAAGTTTTAGAAGAGGTTGCCAGCCTGTCACACTGTGGGGAAACTGACTCTGGTTAGCATGACATTACTTGAGAATTGATGGATCCTAGCAGAAACCATTCATGTTATTTTCTAGATATTGGCCTCCACATAACTACATAATGATTTTGTTTCACGGAATTAGTTGCATTTCCTTGTATAGTTTTCATTATTGTTACTTTTCTAAAACTATAACCGGAATACTAGTTTATGTACCTTGTCAACGAAATACATGAATCTCTTTTTCAGCCAAAGTACATGACTTAAATTTCTTTTGTTGCAGCATTGAGATATACAAGCATAACAAAGAGGAAAGAATAGCAAGAACGTGGGGTACAACTGCACCAGGATTGCCGTATGTTGAGGAGTACATCACACCAGCTGGTAATTGGCTCATAGGTGGAGATTTGGAAGTATTAAAGCCTATCAAATATAATGATGGGCTTGATCATTATAGGCTCTCTCCCAAACAACTTCGGCAGGAATTTGATAGGCGTCAAGCTGATGCAGTTTTTGCTTTTCAATTGAGGAACCCTGTACATAATGGGCATGCCTTATTGATGAATGATACACGAAGGAGACTTTTGGAAATGGGTTACAAGAATCCAATTTTACTTCTTCATCCTTTGGGAGGTTTCACAAAGGCTGATGATGTGCCTTTGGATGTTCGGATGGAACAGCATAGCAAGGTTATTTCTTCAATTTCTTCTATCTATCTTTTGGTAACAAAGGGCTGATGGACTGTGTTGTCAATATATATGGTATCCTTTTAATTTTCTTCCTTTAAATTAGTCTATTTTGCACAGAACGAGTGCTTACAGATTTGCTTTCAAGCAGGTGCTCGAAGATGGTGTTCTTGACCCTAATACTACCATTGTCGCTATATTCCCTTCACCTATGCATTATGCTGGTCCAACTGAAGTACAGTGGCATGCCAAGGGACGGATAAATGCAGGTGCTAATTTTTATATTGTAGGTCGTGATCCTGCTGGTATGGGTCACCCAACAGAGAAGAGAGATTTATATGATCCTGATCATGGAAAGAAGGTTCTGAGCATGGCTCCTGGGTTGGAGAAGTTAAATATTTTGCCGTTTAGGGTAGGTATTATTAGTTTCTTGCTCAACTGTTGAAACTCTTTTCCTCTCCTGTTCTCTTTTTTACACTTTAATTATTTTACAAAGGTTGGCAATTTCAAATTAGCACTAACAAGTTATCTTATTATAGTGCATTAGCTACTCTACATCTTATACAACCTGGTACAAACACCAGCAAACATCGTTGTATTTTCATAGTCAGTTGTGACTTTAGCAATTCCAGAATTTTTGAAATTACCATTCTAGAGACGGTTAACATTTGTTTTTAAACAAGATAAATGGTGTTTCTGGATGTATATTCCTTAGCAACGAATAGCCTTGCCCTTGAATAGTTGTTGGTCCTTACGTGATATATAGGTACGTATAAGGCAATAACTCCTCTCAAGACCAATAAGAGTGGGAATTTGTTTAAGTGCCCATGTTTGTTGCTTGTATCAGTATTGAAAGAATGAACAGAATATTGCAGACCCCATACAGAAAACTATTGTCAAGCTTGGTTAAAAAATTCTATATTTGATAATTTGGACTAGGTGGAAGAGGGTTAGAATTCAAACATTTTGAGATGATGGAAAAGTTTCCTAAACAATGTGAAGCGAGTAGATGCTCCTACAAGATGAGGCTGAATGCTAGGGCTGGTATTCGATATGCCCCATCCTTACAATTCTTCTTCTGCTTTGATATGTTTGTTCACATTCACCTCAGTTAGGTAGTCCTTACATCTTTGCTCTGGCTTTTGATGTTTTAAATATAGTGTTTATGCAATTCTCCTTTTAGTGTTAATCTCAGTTTTCTTTTCCTATTAAGTTTACTGTCTTTTTCTTGCTGCATCTTCACTCTAACAGTTTACCCTGCAAATAAATCATGGAGTAAATTTTCTTTGCTGTCTTGTGCAGGTGGCAGCATATGACACTGCAGCAAAGAAGATGGCATTTTTTGATCCATCTCGCGCTCAGGATTTCCTCTTCATCTCTGGAACTAAGGTATGAGTTAAGGTCCATGGATCTGACAGTAGTCATTAAGGCAATGACATTTTCACCTTTTTTATTACTCACATGATTTCGTAGGGACAGTGTCGAAATATTGATGTTCCCTCTTATTTACTCTCCTAATTTATGATGATTGAGATTGTGAATGTCGAAGTTTTCATATCTGATTTTGTAATATGACATTCATCATGTATAAACTTCCCTTCTCCTAACTTGATTTGCTCATGGTTTTCTTGCAGATGCGAACTTATGCAAGAAATGGTGATCATCCTCCTGATGGATTCATGTGTCCTGGCGGTTGGGAAGTCCTTGTGAAATATTATGAAAGCTTGCAGGTAGAAGAGGCATCACAGCAGTCAACCATTTTATCCGCTTAGATATGTGATTTATGATGCAAATTTCATGTGAATTAGTTCAAACAAGAGGAGAAGTATTCAGTAACATACCATCTGAATTAGTTGTTGCAGCCAGCAAATTGATGGAGTTTTTCTCATTGACTCTTGGCAGTAAGGTATCATTCTTTTTTGTTTTTCAAAACCAAGGTTGTGCTGTGCCTTGTATGGATGTAAAATATTGATAACTTGTTATTCGTTTTAAAGACAATTGCTTGTGTGCGCTCAAAGCATTTAGGATTTGTGGCGCTAAATAGAGTGGTTTCAACAGGAACCTTTGTATATTATTTTTGCTTAACCTTAAATGTAGTTGCCTGGGCCTGGCCCGCAAATGTGCCCAAGCTATTGTGCGTTTTTAATCAAAAAATTAAGGAACCCCACAGAGGCAGAATAAATAGATGATTATTCACCAATCACCACCATGAATCTGGAAGATGGATAAGGTTGAATATGTGATCTGAAAAACAGAGTGACAGTTTATGGCTGTTTCTTTTACTTGCGGATTGGGCTTAAATATACACTACCGAGTTAGAATTATCTTACAGATGCCAATTCGGGTTGAGTTTTAAAAGGTAAGGGGCTTTGACTTGTAGGTTTCAGAAACATTGCAATATGGTGGATTGCTTCTTGCCGGGTACTACTACTTTTCCTTCTTCTGCTATTGCCACTGCTACGTTCAGTTCAAGTTCCAAAAGTCGATTGCCATGTCAAAGTTATCAGCTAAGATCCATAGGCCATATCAACTATTATTGGATAAGTCAACAATGATGTGAGCTCTGTTTTTTTATTATGAACACCAAAGAAAGAAAATAAGAAAAACGAGTTGCAAATTCTGTAGTTGGTTGGTGCCACTTGTTTCTTCCCTAGCTAGTCGGTTCCACATATCTATTTATATTATAGGAGTAGTTGAAACATCTAAAGAAATCAATTTGCACAATTACCCGAATATTATTCATATCTATAGGGTCAGAATATTATTCAATTTGAGCACAGAAACAGGTAAAAAAAAAAAAAAAAAGCAAATTTAACGTACATTTACAAGCTATAAATATTAATATATTGGTAATTTCTTCACTTCAATCACGGCTCTCCAAAGTCTAAATAAAGTCCATAAACGCGCCCAATTTCAGTTCTTCTGACCCATAAGTCATATAACAAAATCAATCAAATCCAACACAGCTGGCCTGGACCCCTCCTTTAGTAATCTTTATTATTATTATTATTATTATTATTATTATTATTATTATGATTATGTTTACATCAAATCAATTTTGACATGAAAATAGACAAAACTGTCCTCTTTTTGGATATGTTAACAACAAAACACTTTCGTGTACATATTTTCTTAAAATGCCTGTGAGGTACATCCGTAAGTCCTCTAATTTTCGGAACCTTCCTCCGGCCCCGGCTTAGCTGTCCGGGGGCCATGGCCGAGCGGCTTTAATTTTCTCATTGATTTTTATAAAACAAAAAGGAAAAAAAAAAAAATCAGAAATTAGGTTTAAAGTGCATGGTCTTAAATTTGAAACAAAATGTGTGGCTAGAGAATTCTAGCAATGAACTTCATTAGCTGGGTCGTCTAGGGCCATACTGATAAGTATTGTTCGATTTCATAGTATGTTAGTTAAGGTTTCTTTTGTTGATTACACTTTATATGATATGTATGTTCATTTGTGTAGTCTGTGTCAACCCTTCTCTTAGTACTAAACATGTTTTATAGTTGTCTATTCAATTTCCTTGAAGAATCCTTTTCAGTTCAGCTCATGCCTTTCTGGGTTTTCTGTTTTTAGTTATACATATTAGAAATGTGGTTCTAATTAGTATACCAAATTGAAAAACTTCCCTTCTATACACCATCAATAATGGTTTGAAAGAAAAGTGTAAATTGGAGATGCTCAAAAAAGGTGATCCAAACTGTGTAGTAATAGTTGAATTTTAAGAGAGTTAAGTAATGCCATGCATGTAGCCACAGTTGGGTTAAACTTAGAATTTGAATATATCAAATTCCTTATAGAAATCAAATATTTCGTTCAATTTGCGAGCGAATAGTATTTTCAGGTGAATTTTATTGTAAGATTAAAGAATCGAAACCTTAAATACCATTATGGCTATGAACATGGAAATACTAAAGTCCTTGGAATATTATATTATAGATAACATGGTCTTCATGTGCTTAGCTGAAGAATTGGGAGTCATTTTCTACCCTAGAAATTTGCATGCATTGCTTAATTTAGCTGTGATTTAGATATATATGTATATGAATAGAGTCACAGCTGCTGCCTTTCGGTGACTATAGTGGAACCCACCTTCTAATCCCCTGTTTTAACCATTTACTAAACCCCAATCTCAATCACAAATCACAGAACAGCTAGACTACACTTATTGCCATGAGAGTTAACGTACTGTCATTGTACGAGTTATAATTAATCACGAAGAAGGAAGGAGAAGGGGACAGACCGGACGTTGCCGTATTAAGCACTAATTTGGTAGAATTAAAGACAAGCATTTCAATTTTAGAACATGCATGGGGAGGAGACTAACCTATATATATATATATATATTTCTGATTTCTGAACCAATAGCTCGGCTATAAAAATATCAGCGGTTCTCATTTATTTATTTATTTATTTTCTCTCTCTATATATATATTTATTTATTTGTGATTATGACTATGTGGTTGTGCTGGCCTAGCCAGAAATAGTTGGAGGACCACATGCCCTTAAGTCCTTTTATAGCTGAGGAACAATTAATGTGTTCATAGCAAGAGATCTCCTAGAAAAAGTCTCTTGTCCATTTTCTTGCTAAATCCGTATAAGCTAATTAATTTCTTATCATCCTTTTTCTCCTTTCTTCTTTCTTCTTTCTTCTTTTTGGTTAAATCCTAGCCACTAATACATGTAATATCAAGATTTTTATATCAAATCCTACCCTAATCTCAGGGACTATGACCAAAATATATACTTTTGATTATAATCAATTGAGGCAATTAATATTATATGCCAAAGTTAATTAATTTTATTGCAACATAGTAAAAGAAAAGTTACATATTTATAGTTATGTAGTTGAATGTAATTATATGAAACGGCTCAACTAGTTTTGAGGTGATTCAAACAAGGCAAAAGAGTTGGCCACTTGCCCTTATCAATGATCGATGCAATGAATTCACCTAAATGAGACGTAGCAATCAAAACATTTCTCTGAAAACAAATAAATTGGTGTAGTCATATATATATATATGCGAAACGGCTCAACTAGTTTTGAGGGTTTTGATTCAAACAGGCAAAAGAGTTGGCCACTTCCCTTATCAATGATCGATGCAATGAATTCACCTAAATGAGACGTAGCAATCCAAAACATTTCTCTTGAAAACAAATTTAAATTGGTGTGTCATAATATATATAATTATATATATATATTATATATATTTATTTTACACCTCCAAATGTAAGTGTAATGAATTTATTATTTTTGCTCTCTTTATCTGTCATCACAAGCTCAATAATTAAGGTGAAACGAAATTTCTAGAATTTGGATTTATTATCTGGTTATAACATACACTCATGGATAGACCCTATAATAATGGAAATTCGGTTTGTTATTATATAATTAAATTTATGCTATAATTAAACATATCTTCTGGGTGGAGTTATTGGTGAAAAGAATAGCACTGAAATTACTAGTTTGCCGTTGCGGCAGTCTCGAAAGCAGAAACAAGCAAAATAGAAAGAATTGTGTCAAGCCATCCCCCTCCAAATGTAAGTGTAATGAATTTATTATTTATTGCTCTCTTTATCTGTCATCACAAGCTCAATAATTAAGGTGAAACGAAATTTCTAGAATTTGGATTTATTATCTGGTTATACATACACTCATGGATAGACTATAATATGGAATCGTTTGTTAATTATAATTAATTAAATTTATGTATAATTAACATATCTTCTGGTGGAGTTATTGGTGAAAAGAATAGCACTGAAAATTACTAGTGCCGTTGGGAGTCTCGAAGCAGAAACAAGAAAATAGAAGAATGTGTCAAGCCATCCCTAAAGAGGAGACAAAGCAAAATCTGTATCTTGGAAACTCGAAGAAGGGAGAAAAAAAATTTCAAAATGGAAGAATTAAACGAAGCTAGCATGAAGAAAGTGAGACCTGATGGAAATTAAAGGGTCATGTGAAAAGTTAAAACACAGAGAGCAGCTGAGGTACACAACAATGGCAGGAATGTTTAACCATTTCCATTTTTAGCTGAGGCAAGAAATAACTTCCCGAAAAGATTTTTAAGGAAAATAATGCAGAAGGAAATTGGGAGGATACTTCTTATCAACTTGAAGTACATTAGAGACAAAAAATTTACTTGAAAGTTGAAAAATCAAAATATAATATTAGAAAGAAAAATTTAAGAGAGAGAGAAAGAGAGAGAGAAATTTTCTTGAGGGACCATGGTGTCCTTAGGAAGGGCAACATGAAGGTCTAAACCCAATGGGTTTGGCACCAAGCATGTCCTTAACCCTCTCACGAAACCCCAAAAACATCTATGGTCTGTCCTTTGCCCCCACATGCCCTTGCTTTCTCTCTCTAGCACACTCCTCTCTCCCCCCATAAATACCCTATAATCTCCCTTCTGCCTTTTCACACCAACTATAACAACACTCTTTTCTCATTTCTCTCATCAACTCGATACCAAAAGTTTTCTTTTTTTATTCTCTTCTTACTAGAAAAAAAAAAGGAGAAGAAAAAAGAGATATGGCTATTAGGAAATCGTCGAACAAATTGTCTCAGACAACAGTTATTAAGCAGATCCTGAAGAGATGCTCGAGCTTAGGGAAGAAACAAGGGTATCACGACCAAGAAGGGCTTCCTTTAGATGTGCCAAAGGGACACTTTGTTGTATATGTTGGTGAAAATAGAAGCAGATATATTGTGCCCATTTCTTTCTTGACAAGACCTGAGTTTCAAACCTTGCTTCATGAAGCAGAAGAGGAGTTTGGGTTTGATCACGATATGGGTCTTACCATTCCTTGTCAAGAACAAGTTTTTCTGTCTCTAACATCCATGCTCAGATGAAGACAAAAAAAAAAAAATGAAAAGAAAAAAGAAGCTAGAGCTAAATACATTCTTCAGGTTAATCAGTTTTATTATATGCGGGGATCTGTCTGGAGAAAATTAATGACTGTAGAGATGAAGCTGCTCACTGCTTCTCTGTTTTAATTTTCTTTCTCTTTCTCTTTCTCTTTCTCTTTCATATATAATTCTTTCTCTGGGTTTTTTTTTCTTTTACTGTGACCCAAGAGAGAAAAGTAGAAACCCAAGAACACTATTTATGGGTTTAGACGCCATGTAAATCTTCAAGTTTGTAATTTTTCCTTACAGTGTTGTGGGGTTTGTTACCAATGTATAACCTGTGGGAGAAGAACTAATATTAATTATAGTACATTCTCACTTTATTTTAGGGTTCTTGCCATTGACAGTTTTTAACAGTTAAACTGTTAACCCCTTGCCCAACGGATTATTTCTAAGTTAACAGAATGTTTTGTCAGAGAACTCTTGTTCCCATATCCATGGGATCTTCTCAACTTCGTGCAATCTCAACTGTTTAATTCTTTATCAGATTTTTTCTTATTTAAAAATAAATGGGTTCTTGCTGTTAAATGCTATATTAATATAATTTAATTATCTGGGCATGCATTTCCATGTTTGGATTTGGATCTTTCACTTCACGGCTTTCCTGCTTATGATATTAATTAAAAAATATTTGATTTTAATAATGATTTTTATTTATTTTTATATATGAGTTTGTTTATCAGTCATCTAATATTGCAGACTTGTACAAATTTATTAAATTTCTTCAAGTGAAATGAAACTAAAATTGAATAGTGTTTATTAGAATAATGATCGTTTTGAAATTTACTGAAGCGCAATGAGTGGGGATTCTATTGAAACAGTTGAGGCATTTTTCCTGAAAAAGTGGCTTTATGTTGCGGTTTCTGCCCCTTTCAGTACATATGAATGTGATTCAATTATTAATTGTTGCAACTCTCTACAGGAGATTCATCGAACTTAACGTAAAAAATTTTTTCCTCCTAGGAAAATCCATTTTCCTGGAGATCGAATCTGTGAATCTCATTCTCACGGGATTAAAATCGTTTTTCACTTAACCAAAAATTTTTATTTTTTTTTAATTTTACTTTCATTATAGACGTTAAATATTCATAATATAATTATATGTATTTATATATTTCATGTGTTAGCTTTTTAATGTTTTATTTTTTATGTTTTAAATAGATCCGGGTTTGAATCTCCCATTTTTAACAGTAAAAAAAAAATTAAAATTGTGTATTATTATTATTTAAAGCGGATGAAATATTAAATTAATAGGCCGAAAAGGAAAGGTAAAGAGAATTTTCTTTTGTTTGTTTGTCCGTTGAAGTAAGAGTAGAGAAAATCAGTAACAAGGCCATGTGGTGGGGGCCCACTAATAAGTCTAAAAAATCGTGAAGAGCCCAACAATGACTCACCTCGGGCTGAAGTGGTGGCCCACTAAGTGGTTGGTTCAGATTGGAGACGCAATTGGCTACTAACTCTTCTCTCTTCAATACAGTATGTAACTACGTATTGAATAATGTACAAATATCAAATTGTTTTTCCCTTTTTCTGAAAATAATAAATAAATAACGATATTTGTTAGCATCAGTGGCTTGGCTTAGCCTTGTAACTAGCTAGCTAAGACCCAAAAAAAATTGTACGGATGGGACACTCAGCCAGCGCTGCATGTTAACGGACCGCGCCTAGGCTTTTGGCCGGTGCATCAATGCATATATGTTCTTCCACCAAAGTCATTTGTATTTTTTTCAAATGAATTTTAATTATAAAATTAAAATTTTAAAATTTGAAATCACAAGATTTTATTTAAATATCACCACTATAATAGTACGTGAATAAAAAAATATTAAATCATGATTTGATTAATCTTCTGAAATTCTCGAACTCTTTCAATTATTAAATTTTTTAGTAACTCGGTATACTAAAAAAAAAAAATTTCTTTATTATATAATTTACAATATTATTTCAACCATAAAATTTTGAAAAGAATAAGAAAAAATATGAACCATTCACCGACGAGTTAGAAACCATTTGAAACATGTATTCCAACTATATGGCATGTCTCCAGAATTGTCTGTTACCTGTTATTTACTTTTGTACAGTAGCAATAGCACTGTACCATTTTTCCTAGTGGTTTAGCCTAAGTTTAGCAGTGAAGAAGAACATGGCTAATGTATACATAGAGTCCCATCTTTTCAGAATTAGCCTAACTAGGTTTCTACTATTACTATATAAAATTACAAATTTAATCATATCTATGGTTTTTAATTTCCATTTCACTCAATCAGAACAAGAAGAAGAAGAAGAAGAGGTTTCTATTATTATAATATATAGAACAAAGTGATAAAGTAAGATATGGGATTGAAATATATATGTAAAGACAAAGCTCACATGTAGAATAGTATGGTCCAAGAAAAGAAAGATGTTATGACATTTTTTGGTTCAATCTTTTAATGGTTAGATTCAAAATGTAATAATAAGAGTAAATTACAGTTGGTATGAATCTGTTTTTTCTGTTTCTTTATTCTTCCATGTCTTTTCAATGTTAATTGTTACTTGTCCATTTTCATTTCTTCTTCTTCCTCAAAGTTCAAACAAACCTAATCTTCTAAATTTCTTTTACATGGGATATTCCATTTTATACGCTCTCTGTCTGTCTGCCCTACTCAAAGTTAATCCAGTAGTGGAAATGACTGCAATCAAAAAAGAACAAAGCAATTCAACCAAAAAAAAAAAAAGAAAGAAAGAAAGAAAAAAAGTGCACTGCGATTAAGACATTAAGGGGTAAAAGATGGCCAGAATATTTTTTAGTATTTATATTATTAATTAAAAGGTTGATTTAGAGGCAATTAATAATGATAAAGGTTAGAAGAGTTAATTAGAAACAGAAGTCATGTGATTGTATCAAATCAAAGTGGTTAAGATGTGACATTTGTGCTTATCTTAACAATTAGGCATGTATAATTGCATTTGCGTTATAATCAAAATGTCGGCTTATTAAAGCCATTTTTCTTCTAATGATGGGAACAAAAAATCCGACAAGTCCATTAAAATTACTGTGTAGAAGGAAAAGTAAAGCTACAAAAGAACTAATTATTGGGAATTATAATTATGATTAAAACATGTAATTAAGCACAATAAATAAAAAAGGATCTGTAGAATTTATATTGGCAAACTCTTATCTATAAATGTTAAAGCACGTGTGGAAAAAAGATGTATAAATCTCTTTCTATAACATAATAATAATAATAATAATAATAAGAGAAGAAGATAAAATTTTATGGGTAGAAAACATGGATCCAACAACAAGAAAGCTTAGTTTGAATTTAATGCATTTTGTACAAAACTTCAATTAATTTGTTTGGTGGTGCGATTTTTAGCAATCGGAAAAGGGTGAAGGACAAGGGAGAGCCATTTATGTTGGGAGGTGAGTTGTGTTGTAGGGTATAGATGTTGGGTTCAACATTTATGCAAATGAGAAAATTTGGGTTTTTGAATTCTTGATTTTTTTATTTATTTATTCAATTTGGATTTCACAACTCATTTTCCTTTTGAAACAAATTAAAATTCAATTATAAATCTTCAATGGAGTTTCTCTGGTTTTCTTTGATTTTCCTTTTGAGTGCGGTTCTTATAGAACAGCTCTATAGAAGTTACTGATTATAAAATTAACTAGTCTTTTTTTTTATTATTATTACTTATTGAATAAATGTGTATATATGCAAATGACATGAATCCCTGATTTCAGTATATCTGAGGCCTAACAGGGTGTGCTATGTTTTTATTTGAAGTGCACAAAACAGTCAAATGCGCACAGTCATGTTCAAAGTTCCTATTCATAAAATATTCAATGGAAGGTTCCAATTTTTATATTATTACTATTATTTTATTATTAATTGATTATTGCGGAATGGTTCCAAAGAAAAATACCTACTTTCCGATGGAAATTTTCTGGTTGGACTGAAAGTACTACGGGCCTAAGGTTAGAACACGTAGAGCCCATTAAGAGTTGATTGGGCATTCGGATCGGACGAGCCCAGGAAACACAACAATGGTAACCATATGACGCGGTTATCCACAGCTTAACTCAAAGATAAGTTAGTAACCCTGGTAATCCACCATCCACCTGATTTGCTTATAGTTCTAGGTAAAAATGGCTAACTCGACTTCAACTATTATTGTACAAAAAACATGAATATATAGATATATTTATTACTATTATTTTATTATTTAATGATTTATTGCGGAATGGTTCCAAAGAAAAATACCTACTTTCCGGATGGAAATTTTCTGGTTGACTGAAAGTTTACTTTACGGGACTAAGGTTTAGAACACGTAGCCCAGTTAAGGATTGAATGTGTGACGGCCATTGCGGATCGGACGAGCCCAGGCAACCCACCCCAACAATCGGTTACACCATTATGACGCGGTTAATCCACAGCTTAACTCCAAAGATAAGTTAGTAACCCTGGTAATCCACCATTCCACTGATTTGCTTATAGTTCTTAGGTAAAAATGGCTAACTGCGACTCTTCAACTATTATTGTACAAAAAAACGATGAATATATAGATATATATATATACCAACTTATATATATATATATATAGTATATATATATATATTAAGAGAAATTAACAAAGAACATATATAGAGAAATTAAAAGAACAATAAAGCTTCATTTGGTATTTATTTAGCTGGGTTGTTGCCAAAAAAAATTTACTAAAATAAGAAAAACCATTTAAGAACTGACAAAACATAGGATTATATTCAGATATTTTAAGGTCCAGAAACTTAGATCAATCGAAGAAATTACACAAAGGAAAATGAGAAAAAAAGAGCCTACATATGTGGGGGGAACATATACAGTCATCAGTTACAAAAAAAATAAAAAAAAATTACAGGGCTTTCAAAGCATCGGTTTCTTAATAAGAAACCCAGGCAAACATTTCCAAGGATGATTCTAGCACCAATAAGGATAGATATCTCCATTTTATGTGCTTTGGATTATTAATTATCAACCTTTTGATTTTTCCAACCATATCATTATTATGCTGCACTGCAAGCTGCAAGCCTAATTGCCATTTCTTCCTTTTGAGGAAAAGAACCTGCTAAAGCCTCTTTGATGTTTCTCTGGTGTTCCAACAAGAGTTGAAGAAGAAGAAGTTGACTTGGTGGATCTGTGTTGCGGTTGCTTTGAACTGATTGGTGATCTTGAGAGGCTTGTTTCGGCGTCCGATTGGTTGTAAAAATCCGTAGGGGATTCACCACCTGTTTTGGGCAGATTTGTTGAAACAGTAGCATCCATTTCTGCCTGATCAAAATCTTGCAAGTTCATCCCACTTGTAGTAGGCTCATCATCACCAAATCCCTCACCCCTTTGGCTCCTCTCACTGTATGGAGATCCCATGATTTCTGTTTGAGGACGCAAAGCTTTCAATTGCTTGCCAAGAAGAAATATAGTCTCTTGGCACTCCGCTAGTTTTTCTGCCGCAGCTGTTAATTCTCTTTCCTGTTCATAATAACAACACTTTCGAGTTCAGATTTTCAAGTTTCCATGTAGCAAAAAATGGTTTGTGGCTTTTCATCTTGGTAACATACAAAAAAAAAAAAAAAAAAAAGGAGGAATAGGATTATACAGGAATCAGATTCTAAATTCAGAAAGCCAGAAAGACCTTGAGATCAGCTCCTGACTGACCTCTAGTAAAGGCATCAGTTTACTCAGGAGGATAGTAAATGTGGAAACAAAGAAAAAAGAATTTATTCTTTTTCAAGTATTTGGAAGGGTACCTGAACCTGATTTGTCTTTTCTAATCTTATAACCAATGATTAAAAAAAATACAAAAAAATAAAAATAAAAAGAGAGGAAAAGAAAAGAGTAAACTTACGTTTGCAGTTGCTCTTCAAGCTCCTTGCTTCTGGTCAAAGCATCCCAGTGGCAACGTTTTTCTTCCTGAAGCTCGTTTTCTAGAGTTCCTGCTTTTGCTCGCAAAATGTTTACCTCAGTTTCCAACTCCTCTGCACGAGCTTCAAGAGATCGATATGACTCTGCCATACATTTTAGCTGAGTTTCAGATAAGCTGTTTGACTTCTGTGCAGAAGTCAATTGTGCTTTAGCTTCAGCTAGAAGCTGCTCGGTTTCATGTAATTGGGATTTGGTCATTTCTAGGTTTTCAGTGCACCTAGCAAGATCCATGGCCATGTTATCTTTCTCTGTTTTCAGTTCTTCAAATTCCTCTAGTGAGACTTTGCATAATGTTGTATTTGACCCATAGCCTGATACCAAGTTCCCATCATCAGGGACCTCAGGGTTAGAGGTAGGGCTAGAAATGTGGGCACAACCATTTTGATACCTTTCTCCTGAGCAGTCCCTTTGAAGAACCTTATTCTCTGGTAAGGCAACCTTATCTATGCAATCAGGACTATTGATTTCTCCTTCAGAACATTTATAACCCAGGACATTAAATCTAAGCTCGCTGGCTTTGGCTAATACATGAGAAAGATCAAAAATAAAATCAACCAAACTTGTATTGCCATTTAATACTTTATTAGAAGTGACTGAGAATTCCTCAATTTTTTGGCTCAGACCACCATCAGAAGATGTGTCATGAACTACCATTGCTTCTTTACCCAGGAACAATACAAAGTCATGAATACTGGAAATGGCAGCAGCCAACTCTTGGCTTACAGAGTGCACAGCTTCTGTGGATGCCTTTATATCTTGGGACAAAGTGATTTCCTTCTCTCCAGTTAAGCTAGCATCTTTCGGACAAGTCTGCCCATTGCTTGTTGCATCAACAGTAACTACTTCCTCAGATACACAACTTACAGAGGGCTGATGCAGAGCATCATGTGCATCCTGCACAACACGTTTAACATCGTCTAAAACTTTGCCCATGTCAACATCCTTAGATGCATACTCAAGTAACAAAGAAATCCTTGATTGAAGCTTCATCAAGCGTACATGATTCACTGATGGATCCAAAGTAGAATGTCCTTCAGAGAGGGCATCTTTGCCCAATGAGACCTCTCCTGAAGTATCACCATTTGCAATTTCAGATGTCTTATTTTTTGGAGAATCTGAAATAGTGCTGGCACCATTTTCATTTAAGCAAGCTAACTTCTCCATCTCCAGAAAATCATCCATAAGCTCCAAGTGTTTTACAGTCTTTGTCTTATTTGACTTTTCACCACTCTTTTCCTTCTTTAATTGAGAGAGCTCAGAGATCAATGATGTCGCCAAAGAGTCGGCACAACTTCGGTCATCATCATTTCCATCTTCAGACATTGAGGTCAAACTAGGTGGATTGCTCATATTTTGACTGGAGTAACCTTCTGTAGGCACCTGAACCGTAGATTTTGGTGAACTTTTCTGTTGACTGCTGACATGAACTTGTGCTTCTAAACTTTGAAGCTGACTTGCTGTCTTGGCACACAGATTCCTAGAAGCCAGCAGTTCACTATTACGTTTTGCTAAAGCTTCTTTCAGCATCTTTGTTTCTTCTTCCATGGCCAATAAACGCTCTGTGAGAAACTCATTCTCTTTTTGGAATTTTTGAGCATTATCCAATGAAAATTCAGTCACAGCAGACAGATGTGGACTAGGAGGTTTAACAGGTGACCTCCTCAGCCGAGAATCTCCATAATCTCGGCCTAAACTCTCAACCTCTAACTTCATTTGGGCAAGCGCAGCAGGACCAGGCAACTTTTTCCGCACAAGACCACGTAATCTTTGGCACTCTGCTTCCAGCTTAGCTATTTTTTTTACTCCCTCCATGTGCTGCTTGTTTGCTGCTTCAGCAGATCTCATGCTCATATTCTTTTCCTCATTACGAATCTCTAGCTCCTTGGCAGCTATGTGTAATTCATATTTAAGTGAATTTATTTCCCTTTCACACGATTCAATATTGCCCTTCAAAAGTTCAATCTCAGCCTCAGCTTGTGATTTTTCTTCAGTTATTTTCATTAGCATGTTAGAACGCTCTTGTAGAGACCTTGAAAGAGCAGCATTTTCAGCTGCAGACCTAAGGAGTTCTTGGTCTAAGTTATTTATCTTTGCTTCAAGCTCGAACTTAATTTTGTCTAATTGCTTGGTCTTAGAGAGAGCGACATCTTGCAATTTCTGTTCATGCTCTTCCTTCAGGTTTCTTATTTGTCGCATGCACTCTTTAAGAGCACCATCCAAATGTGACGCACGATCTTCAGCAGTGAGCTTTGAAAGTGTGACCGTTTCTAGATGATTTTTCAGTGCCAAAGCTTCTGCTTCAGCCTTTTCCCAACCTGCAACAAATGATGGTCCCAATATGAGAAGTTACTACCAAGAATGTCAAGAAACTTCAAAGATTAATCAAAACATGTTATTCCTTGGGGTAAATGTGATACAAAGTGAGGATTATACCTGAAACGGCTTCTTCAGCAACTTTAGCATGCTGTTTCACCAGATTTTCCTTTGTAGTCATCTCTGAATTTGCTGCAGACAGCTTTTCATTTAACTCCTTAATCTGATCCTCCAGAGTCTGAAATTGCTGCTCATATGTCTTCACTTGATCCTCCAAACCAGTCAGATGGGTGTATGACTCCACCGAAATTTGAACATAGTTGGGCTTTTTGTAGTTATCCTATTAACATAAAAAAAACACAAAAGGAAATAAATTTGAATGAACCAATGAAGTTCTGAGAAATCTAATGCATCAGCACAACAGGACACTAGATATGAGCATAGTACCAATTAAAATGCCCCACCCTATAATAAGATCTGCACAAAGATATGACTTGGATTCTTTTCCACATCTCAGCCAAAGAGCCAATGGAACAAAAAGGTTAAAAAGTGGCTTAATTGACATTTTTTCCGAGATGGAAAAGTATTCTTTCTTTTTTTTTTTTTTTGGGAGATCTTTTCTGATTCCAAATCTTTAAATTCACAGAAAACTCATCAGCTTAAGCACTGTGAGGTTTCTTAAGATTTCCTAAAACTACATAGAATATTTAGAAATGCTGGATTGCTTGTCATTTAGTATCATAAATCATCCAAATAGAGTTAACCATTCCACTGTATAGGTGCATTAGGGAAAGGAGGACACTGTGTATGAGCATACCTTGTCTGCCTGCGATCCAGTTGAAGCCAACGTGCCACCACCAGAATCTGTAGCTGTAGCTGTTTTTTCAGTCTTATCAGATGATTTTTTCTTCCAGGGCCAACTTCGACGGTCCATTGTAGACTGTAAATGGGTGAGGATTAATAAATTATTAGAAAGCATAGATTATAAATTGACATCAGTCTATGAAAAAAAAAATTGATAGAATAGGTAAAAAGAGACCAGTACAAATTGTTGTCAGCTGCATCTTAAATCACTAACTAGCATTTTATGAATGACAAAAGGTTTTTTATTAACACAGAATACCTTGGAAATTTTATCAACTTGATGAAAGCAAAGATCCTAAAATCGCCATTGCTTCCATAACAAATAAGTAGGATTATCCATTCCAAAAGTTTATTTATTTACTAAGGAGAAAATGACATGAGATCAGATGCGGTCTGTCTTCACTTCACAAACATGCGCTCTACAAGTTATAGCTTCCCTTTGCAATGTTTGCCCCAAATCTAAGAAAACAACAGAATCTAAAAGAATGAAATGACAAAAACAACCTTCAAATTAATGAAGTGATAAAGATGAGCAGTTGAGAAATTATCAGATTGATAACTAGTCAGTAATCAGTAAGCATATATGGAATTCTCGTTATTGGCATGAGAAAGCAAAACTTAAAACTGGTAATTCTTTTTATTGTTAGAAAGATAACTGAGCAAAAGTTGCCACCTTACCGTCTTTTATTTGACAACAATGATAGTTACAGTCAACTAAGTGAATCAACATCAGTTTTTCCAAGTTATAAAATTTCCTTTTAAATCATCCACTTTCTTGACAACCAAACAGAGTAAATGAAAACAGCTAGATGGGCAGCAGCAAATCAAAGTAACTAGAACATTTCTTTTTTACCAAATGAAAAAACACAGAGCGGCGAAATTTTCCATGAACTGAAGCCCCGAAAATGAGAAAGAAATATCAAAAAATGAAAACAGCATGCATTATAAATAATTTCATTTCTAGATATGAATCAAAAATTTATCTCCTTCGAAATATTAAGATCATCAATGTCTTAAATGTTCCAATTAGAGTATACTGAATCGGATGAGCATGCATAAGCTAGAGATCTAATCAGGTTAATATCTAACGAAGATCTTATAATCGCACAATGAAATTCACAAAAGCTAAAGAGAATCAGCTATGGAGAATTTTTGAGAAATAAGAATTAAAAAGAAAAACTATCATTGACTAATTGAAATTGGAAGAATCAACATTTTCTTCTCCCCAGATAAAATTTAAATTGAGGAGATAAACGATGACCAATACGGTGAGTGGAGTAGAGAAATGTACTAACTGGAATTTTTTCAACAGAAAAGGCACACTCACAAGCTATGACTTTACGAAGCAACAAGACTGACAAGCCGAAACCAAAGTCCAAAGACGGCTATTGCAACTCCGAAATAAAAAGGAATAGCCATTTTAGCTTGCTCGGTACAGCTAAAATTTTCACAAAGATTATACTCCACTAGATAAATCAAAACTGCAAATAAACAGAGATTTTAAGGAAAAAATGGAAAAAAGGAAAAACTTGAAATGAAGGAAACCAGAACACCGCCGACAAGGAGAGGAGAGAAACAAAATCTACAATTTGTCAAAAAAGCAACGGTTAGCAATGGCCCAAATAAAACCAAAGATTGTTTTCAAAAAAGCCACAAACAGACGGAAAATTCACGCTAACCTCCCCTGTCTCCGTCTTTTTTCTCTCTCACACCACTCTCACCAACAGCCTAAGAAATAGACCATTACAGAAAACTTAAGCTTATTAAATACATATCATCAACTCACCAGTTGAAATGTAGCTTCAAGTGAGATAAGATAAGGACTGAAAATACAAGCAGAATAGTACGGTTGAGATAAATGCCGATCTAAACTTAGGTATTACTTTTTGTACTCTGTTTTTGCTTCAGACAGTAGAAATGGCGATGAGGTGGTGGTGGTGGTGGTGGTGGTGGCGGTGTTGTGGAGGCTTAGTGGGAATGATGGTGGTGGTACTACCAGGTGGGTAAGGAAGTGGAAATATTCGGTTCTATGTGTCACTTAAAAGGCAAGACGTTGCAAAAGCTCCAAAATAATCACCTTTAAATTATTTTATTTTTATCACTAAGTTTAAAAGAAAATAAATGAAATTAAGAGGAAAATGTGAAATGGTTATATTTTATAGGATTGGTAGCTACACAAATTGACTACTTTGTCCCTAAAAAGTTTACAAATGGCGAATGAGTCCCCCACACTTGTGCCAGAAGCAAGAGCTTAGCTTAGCTGTATCCCGATATTTGTAAAGTGGAGTTGAGTGTATGTTATCTTTGTGTGCGTGTGTGTGTGTGTGTGTGTGTGTTACGACTTTGGACCACCGTCACAGCTCATAATCTCTTAGTGCTGTATACAGACCATGTGCTTCAACTGCTTGGAGATTTCGTGCATCGCAGCATCTTAGCCGTTGATCTGTATTTACCCTGAACTCATTTTATACTTCAGCCGTGGGAAATTTCTGGCTTACACCTATAGCCGGCGTCCATGCACCGAGCCAATAAAAAAAATATTAAAAAATATTACTGTTAAAATGTGATTGTTCATTGAATATTTATATGGTAAAAATTGCCGAGGTTCTATTTTAAGAAGACAAATTTATAAATTAACTATCTGCCTAATCCCTATTGTAATAATAATTATCTGCCTAAAATTTTTTTTTATTATCACAAATATCCTCTGCCCGCTGAGTTGAAATTAAATTTCATTCGCACCGAATTGATTCGTTAAAAGGTAAAATACTCTAAATGAATACTTGTCCACCTTAATATATTTATAATATGACATAATAAAAAAAAAAAAAAAAAAGGCATTGACTTCTTATAATATAGTGTATATTTATCAACATATATACATCTATTACTCATTCTATTCCTATAAATTTCATACCTTTTGAGTTTTTTATTCTATTATATGATATTTCTAGAGAATAAAGATAGTGCTTTACCTTTTTTTTTTTCGAAATTTCCATAAAACTTTATATTTTTTAGTTACGTATAATTAACAAAAATGTTATATATAGTCAACTGTCTTTTTTTTTTAATAATTGAAGTTATTCAATTTTTTTTTTTTTATTCTCGTAAAAAATGAATAAAGTACCAAATTTAACCGAATAAATGAAATAATACTAATCAAATTTTGAAATTTAACAAAATCATTATTATTCCCACATGTATTACCTCATTATAAAACTTTGATTTCTTTAGTTCAAGGATGATATTAATTATAATATCAAGGTACATAAATTAAAATTTATAATTTAACTATATTAATTATATTTTATTAATTTATAAAAAAATCAAAGTAGACCTATAATTTTGAAATGAAAGTATACTATAGGTTTAAATTTCTACCCTACAATAGAATTATTAGGTGTATATATGTGTTTCTTTTTTCCTACAACGACAATATAGCTTAAGGTGATGCGTTTTTCCGGGAATTTGCAATCATTTTGACACCGACTTCTACTGAAATTGTAATATTCTTGCTGAAATAATTACCAATTCCTTTTCTTTTCTAATAAAATCTATTTAAAATTTTATTTCCCCTTTTTCTTATTTTTTGCTAATTAATTAATAATTTCATGGAGCTTTCTTCAATTGGAAATTGGAATGTTTAAGCCAGTGGAGCGCTCCCGTCACCCTCCCATCAAATAGCCCGGCAATCCTGCTCTTGCAGAATGGGATGCAGCAATAAAAAAATCAGGCAATTGTTGACTTTTTTTTTTTTCCTTTGGTTCTTTCTTTTTTTTTTTTTTTTCTTTTTTGCCTTTTTCTTCAATAATTGAGAATTAAGTTGACAATATAAAATATTGAAAATTCAATTTTAATAATTTTCTCCAGTCCACGGATAAAAAGACCTGTATTAAACCTTATAACATAGATCCTAAACTTTTAGCACTACTACATTTTAACTACTAGTACTGCCGCGCAACTGGACAGTTATACATACGTTTCCTTTTTCCAATTAGCTAATTAAAGGAGTAGTCCTAAATTTTTTTAAATTTTTATTTTAGAAAATATCAGAAAATTGCATGGTACTGTAGCAAGTTAAAAATATTTACCAAAACGCTGCTTAAATTGACGAGATCAGATGAGCGTACTCCCCAAGTATACTGTATTAAAAGTTCCGAAGTTTCCCAAAAGTCAAATCGCAACTGGGGACTCTGCTTTGATCTGACCCTTCCTTCAGTCTTTGGCAGCGTCTGGCGTCTGCGACTGCGCGTTTCCAGACACAAACGCAACTGTTTCTTTTCCCAGTTTAACCTACTCCACCTTTTCTTTATTGTTATTTAATTTCGACGGCTCTGATTCGCTTTCTTTCATTCTTTCCCCTATATGAACGGTTGTGATTCGATCATCACCCTCGATTCTTAGCTTAATTTAATGGAAAAGTATGACGCTTGATTACGAAACAATAACTATTAATTATTAATTTAATAACCTTTTTTTTAATATGTATAAATGAGCTGGATAATAAATTTTCAATCAACCAATTGAAAGACCCCAGGTCAGCGTGATTAGACGCCCCAACCAAACCAATTACAGACGGGAGATATCCCGGTTCGATTTTTTATCTGGATATTTGTGACCTGGGACACTCAAACTGTTTTGAGGCGCGTGTAATTCACTTCATTATTTTGGAAATAGGAGTATAGATTTGTGCTAAAACGTGACTGATATGATGTCTCTTCTATGGTAAGTTTTCATCATCAACATGATGATGTAAATAATGACAAAGTCATTGAACTATAATTTGCTTATTTAGGATGCAGTACCATAAAATATTTTTTTTGGCACCGAATTACTTCTAAAAAAAATAGATACCGTACAATTCTTATAAGCTAGAATAACTACATTTAAACTTAAATTGAATAATAAAACAACAGATAAAAATAAAATTAAAAATTTATACTAAATTTATTTTGTATTTTATAATAAATTATTAAATTCATTGATTTTAATTTATTGTTTGAATAAAAATTATTATGTCAACGAACAGTTTAAAAAAAGGTAAAAATAAAAAAAATAATATATAATTTATTGAATTCATAAACTATGCAAGTATTTGAAGACGGAGATGGTAAGTTTAATAGGAAAAGAAAAAAATAAAAAAGAAAAGCCGAGGCGCGCGTGAAAGATAAAAAGCGAGGGAGAGGTAGAAGAGTAGAGCAGAAGAAGGAGCGGAGGGAGCAGAATCGAAGGGCAGTTAAAAGGCCAAAAAAGAACAGGGGGGTCCCCACATACCCACACGTTTCTGATATGCTGCTTAACCTTTTTAATCACATGGGGACCACCTTCGAAATGCTTTCGCTAGAAAGCGACCACGTTTCGCAAAACCCAGTTCCATTACCTCTTAATGACCGAAACCGACAGCGTCGGCAGCTAGAGAAGAGAACACCATTAGTGACCAGCCCCGGCCCACAACACAACAACATCAGTTTGCTTTTTTTTTTTTTTTTTTTTTTTTTTTTTTTTTTTTTAAAATTTTAAAAAGTTAGAATTTTTTTTTTTTTTTTTTTTTTTTTAAAATTTTAAAAATAAACCTAAACATAAACCTATAATACGACAAAATATTCAATCAAATACTTCATTATTCATTTGTAAATACCAATTTACAAGTTTGGGCTCAACAATTCTCATAAAACCTCCTGTATCCTTGTTATTTAGATTTTCAAATTAAATTTCATTTGATTAAATAATCATTTAACGATGGAATTTTACTTAAATTTACTATTATTATTTAATCTCTCATGTAATAGCAAGACAACAATTTTTGAATGAACTTAAATAATTTAATGACATTAAATTTTACGAATCAATTAGCTAGTTTTTCTACTTCACTCCAATTTTTGAAGCAATCTAAGAAGTTATTGGTGTGTCTATTCATCATTACCTTTCTTTAACACATCTATCCATGACCTAATAATAAAATCTTTTTTTTTTTTTTAAAGACATTAACTTCAATATATGGGTTTGAAACAAGCTAACAGCTTGATTTGAATATTAATATTACCCGCTAATCACTATAATTAACCCGATAATTATTTGCAAGTCTTTTCAATTTGAAAATTATCTAAACTTAATTTTCAATCGCCAACAAAAAATTTGCGTACATTTGAACAATGAACGGCCCTTCCTATCTTATCATACCCGTACGATGATTGTCTCTTAATCTGACCCACCATTCCTATGTAGGCATCAAGTCTTTGTCTTGCCACGATAAAACCATTTATATAATAAAATTATTTTAAAAGAATTAATTATTATTTGTAATGAAAAATAGTTTAAACTTACTTTCAATTACCATATTTGATTTGATAGAATCTTTAATACAAAATAATTTCCAATAAAAAATTGTAATTCAAAATCAAATAAAAATTCTTCATTTTTTTCCTGATTAATAAGATTTTTAATTATTAATAGCGGTATTTTTGTCCTGTTTTGAGTTTTATAAATTGAAATCCTAAGTTAAATGGAACTATCATTAAGGCATAGACAATTTAGAACATCAACATCAATTAATAATTGAGAACAATTAATCATGCAAAGTATATATTAAAATGAAAATTGTGACTTAATAACGATCGTTAGTATTATATATTATTATTAATAATTAGATCGTGACATATTTTAACCGAGTTAATTAATCTGTATCAATTATAATTTATAAATTAATAAATAAAAAAATATTGAACACGCAATTGCCTGTGTTTATATATGTATTAGCAACAATAATCGCCTAGCTGTCAATCTCAATTTTATTATAATTGTTTTTTTTTTTTTTGAATAAAAAAATGGAAGGAAGAAGATAAAAGGGGGATGGTTCTTCAATCTTGGTCATGAGAACCTGCAGCCAAATAGAAATTTCATTTGCCAGCTATAATGATAGCATATGTAGTTCCTAATAGAGTTTTTTTCTCTTTTTTTTTAAAGGTGGTTATAATAAAATAATATCTCATTT